CACACACACACACACACACACACACACACACAGAGAATGTGAGCATGAAGGAAGGTCTTTTTCTAAGTCACTAGGGTATTTTCCAGTTTGGGGCTTGAAACAAACCAAAGAGATTATACAAATAAATAGTACTAACTCTCTCAAAGCCAGGAAAAGAGTAAGCTTTGTGCATTTGGACTATCAGAATAAGTCAAGCAGTGGTATTGGGGGAAGAAGGCTTGGAAAGTAGAAAACTGGAATCACTTTCCTCAGACTGGCCTTAGGCAAATATCCTTTGTGTTGTTCGCCCTCCAGAGGCGGGTTCAAAGGTCCCCATTTGCTTCCTGAGTGTCACAGACAAGGCATTGACTAAGGGAGAATCATGCCCAGGTGACAACTAGAGCAGAGATCTGGGAAAGAGGGTGGTGGTGGGGCATCCTTCTAAACCAGACAAGTTCAACCTCCCAACACCGATAAAATAGGGGGCTTGTTTAGGATTTTTATTTTCAAACTTAATTTTTTTCTCTGTTTGGGAGTTTAAATATTGCTTTAATTCTTTCTTCCTGCTACTTTTAAGCTAAATTTTCCAACGGTGCTGCTACAAGCATTGGAGATGACTGTATTAAGAAAATTTTAATTTTGATTTTTAAAAAATTCATTTTTATACTTTTTCTTTTATTTTTTTGCTTGATAGTTCAAGTTCAGAGCTGACTTTAGCCTGCTGGTTTTTGCCATTATTGGGAAAGTTTCTTGACTTCTGGAACTTTGGGGGGTAAAGTTTTATTCCTTTCGAGGTGTGCTTTTGTTTCTTCCTTATGGTGTTTGTTTTTGTCTCTCTCACAGACTTTTCCCATTTGATTTTTGTGTGAATCCTATTCCTGCTTTTTTAATTTGGTTACAATTGGCAATAAGCCTCCCTTGGTGTGCTTGTTTCCCTTGTCCTTAGCTCAGCTAGATTTGATGTGAAAGACTATTATTTAATGGTGTTTAGTGTACCACTGATCTGGAGTTTCCTTTTTTTTTTTTTAAAGGCAATTGGGGTTAAGTGACTTACCCAGGGTCACACAGCTAGTAAGTGTCAAGTGTTTGGTCTGAGGCCGGATTTGAATTCAGGTCCTCCTGACTTCAGGGCAGGTGCTCTATTCACTGAACCACCTCGCTGCCCCTGCAGTTTCCTCCAAATATAATCCTCTTACTGTCCAAACTGCTAATTTGCATATTTACTCTACTATCACTTGGTAGGGGTCAATTTGCCATAGAATACTGATTTATAGTATTGTTGTGGTAGAAGACTGTATGTTTGGTTCAGTTTCATATAGCGATGGGTAGATTATTGTCTTTGTGGATTAATACAATGAAACTATGATCCGTGTGAAATATATTTTCATCTAATGGACAAATAAAATTTCAAGGAATCCTAATGGAATTAGATTCCATTATATTGGAACTTGATGTCCATGGGAACTGTTGGATTGAATCCATTTGATGACAAACTCTTTAAGAGCAGAAACTAGTTGTGTTTTGCCTTTCTAGTTTGGGAGACAATATGTAAAAACTGTGCATGTACAAGATTTCTCTCTATCTGTCTATTTGTCTTTCTATTTCTCTAGCTAGCTGTTGTTTGTTGAGTTGTGTCTGACTCTTTGTGACCCCATTTGGGGTTTTCTTGGCAAAGATTTTGGAGTGGTTCGCCATTTCCTTCTTAAGCTCATTTTACAGGTAAGACAAACAAGGTTAAGTGACTTGTACAGGGTCACACAGCTAGTACATGTCTGAGGCCAGATTTGAACTTAGGAAAATGAGTCTTCCTGATTCCAGGCCCAATGCTCTACCCAGTGTACCACCTAGCTGTCCTATAGTAAACATTGTATAAATGTTAGCTATTATTGTTGTGAATGTTACTATATCACCTACCACCAGAGGGCCCTAAGTGACTTTCTGACATGAGTGTGGAGACCTTCAATCCTATCAAATATGCCAAGCAAATTATGATTTCCAGATAAAAATCCAGTGGGTTGGAAGGAATGAGCATCATTGTATACTTAACCTATACAGAGGGAGAACCCAGGTCGCTAGATACTGGCACATCTTAATTCTCATCAGTCAGCCTGGATCCTTGGGAACCCAGGCTCCCAGAGCTCTGCTGGTCTCAAAGCAGGCTGGAAAGCTCTTATCTCCAGGACATTTCCAAATGGAGAAGTTGGTGAAACCTACCAGCAGAGTGAGGGATTTGTCATCAAGTCTTCAGATGTGGTGAACATAAATGCTTAGGGTGGGGAGGGGGAGGGGTGGATGTTCAGTGATGCTTCTGTCTCCCACTCCTCCTATGGGACTCAAATTCCTAACATCAGAGTAAAATTGGAAGTATGTCATTAGGTTGTCTAAATCTAACAGTGTTCACAGAGACAACATCTATCTTGTTCAGCACAGCCCCATGGAAACTTGTCCATATTTGAAGGCCACTTAGACCCTAAAACTGAGAATTTGGGATGCCTCTTAAGAACTACCCCTCTTTTTTCTCTCACCTCACAGCAGCCTCACAACTACAGTGGGGATGATATTGATCATTTCCTATTTAAGCTGTCTATAGCTTGTTTGTAGGTTTGTATAGCTAGGTGGCACCATAGTGCACAGAGCGCTGGGCCTGGAATCAGGAAGACCTAGTTCAAATCTGGCCTCAGACTCTTACTAGCTATGTGGCCCTGGGCAAGTCACTTTACCCTGTTTACCTCAGTTTCCTCCTCTGTAAAATGAGCCGGAGAAGAAAATGCAAACTACTCCAGCATCTTTGTCAAGAAAATCCCAAACGGGGACACAAAGAGTCAGATGACTGAAGTGACTAAATAACAACAAAGTTTGTTTGTACATAGTTGTTTGCATGTTCTCTCCCCCATTAGATTATGAGCTTCTTGAGGGCAAGGACTATTGTCATTTGTCCTTCTTTGTCTCTCCAGCATTTAGCCCACTGCCTGGCGAGTTGTAGGTGGTTAATAAATGCTTATTGACTGACTCACCCTGACTTCTTAGATGATTCCATGAAACCAGCTTTCAGAGTGAGAGTAATGAACTCTATTATTTGGCTCTGAAAAAAAAAATAAAAAGACAGTCTTTACTATTGAATCAGGGAATTTAGAGTTGAAAAGGACCTTTGATATCATCTAGGCTAAGCCTTATTTTACAGGTGAAGAAATTGAAGCCTTGATAGTGATGAAGTATTTATGATCAGATGTAGATTAGAAGACCCATGTAAAACGAGTTTCTGTTGTTTTTCATCCTTTTTTGAAGAGGACCAGTGCCATCATGGGTGATGACCTGCTTGTTAATTGAATTTAAGTGAGGCAGACTTACACAAAGTCACCGGCCTCCCCTTCTCTTCCTGAGTCATCCAAATCCAGTGACAGAATGTGGTCATGGCCTGGGATGCAGTGGATGGCCTTGGTGTCTTTGATGCCTGACCAAGCCTGCCTCAGCCACCTTCATGGCCATTGGAACAAATGGTCCTGCTCTTCCCATCCCACCAGGGAAAGTCTCCATGTGCTTGGAGTAGATGACCCCTAACTCACTGAACGGTCTGAGGTCCGTTGATCACCCTCAACCTGGTTTAACCTGTCTGCCAGGACAGTTTTACTGGGGTGTGGTTGTTGCTCATGCTACAGCTTCTTGGAGCCATGGTGAAAGTTGGAGGAATCAGATGGACACCAAAGGTGTCCTGTATGGATCACTGATACAGTATCTGAACTGTCCTACTAAACTATAAACCCATTGTGAGGCAGATGTGAAAAGGACAGCAGAAGTGGTGTCTGTAGGCTGTCGGTCTGTCAGCTGCCTTCCCTGTTTTTCATGAGCTTATCTACTCTTCCACTGAGAGCATGACTTTCTAGTCACTCCTGCTTTTTTTCCTTGCAAACCAGGGCTTGGTAATGGTAGATGCAGCCCAGCCCAGCCCAGCCCTCTGACTCATTTATCCAGAGAAGCCCTGGTAAATGTAGTCTCTGTACTCTAGGATGTTGTAGAAATAAATAAATTAATAACTCTTTCTTAACTTTGAGCCCCCAGCCAGAAATCTCACTGGCAAATATAACAGTGTAGAATTTCTCTTTAACCTAGCTGTTTCTTATCTCCCCATTTAATACTGCATTGAAACAATAGCATACCTAGTTGAGTTGATCAATTTGGTCTTTTTTTTTTTTTGGTGAGACAATCAGGGTTAAGTGACTTGCCCAGAGTCACACAGCTAGTGAGTATTATGTGTCTGAGGCCGGATTTGAACTCAGGTCCTCCCGACTCCAGGGCTGGTGCTCTATCCACTGTGCCACCTAGCTGCCCAACGCTGGCATTTTTACCCTCATATTAAACTTTTGAGAGCCTCACCCCCAAACCCACACCGACATACTCAGCTCTGCTTCACACACTTATAAGCCTGGTGTCTACCCATTTTGACAATTAATTTGCACATATATGAGATGGTGCGCTCAGAGAACAGAGCTGGTCCCCTTGGCTGGGTGCTTGCCTTCCCACAGGCTTGGGCTTCATGGTCTCAGTGCCTTTTTTTAGCTTCTGGCTTATTTTGCTTAAGGCCTTGTCATCCAAGTGTGGACTGGCTCCCTCTGGAGCTGAACGAGACGGTGAAAATTCCCTGAATCACACTCTGGGAAGTCGTAGGATCATGGATGTAGCGAAGGAAGGGACCACAGAGGCCATCTGGTCCTTACAGATGAGGAAACTGAGGCCCAGTGAGGTTAAGTGACTTGCCTAAGGTCACACAAATAGTGAGCACCAGAGGTGGGATTTGAACCCAGGTCCTCTGACTCCATGAGTCAGTGCTCTTTGCACTGCCTCCACGCAGAAGCACTATCAAGCTCTGATTGGTTTATTAGGTCTACTTTCTCTCTTCTCCATTCTCCCAAATGTGCTGACTTTTCCTAAAATTAGGCAATTTATCAAGGTTGGCTACATCTCCAAAACATTCCCTCCCTTCCTGCTCCCCACTCCCCAGCCCCAGGCATGCCACCTAACCACCTGCCCATAAAAGAAAAAGAAAAGCTATTGTCTAAATTTAAGCTTCCATCATGGGCTCCATGTTGCCTGATGGAGAGAAACTGTGAGTAGAGTGTTTGTCCTCATCCTACAGATGAGAACCCTGAGGTCCATGAAGCTTGGGTCATATGGTTAATAAGGTGTGTGTATTGGCACCAGCACCCAGGCCTTTGGGTCCCACACTAGGGCTCTCCTCCCTCTGAACCCCACAGCTTCCCTGTGAATTCAGAATCAGGAGACCTAGAGTCTGAATTCAGCATTTACCTATGGTGGGATCCTGAGTCCCCAGCTCCCTGTGCCTCTGTTTCCCCATGCCTGTGACAGGTACTCTAGGCACAGCCCTGACTCTGGAGCAGTGTGTGCTAGGTGCTGTCTGGAGAAAGGTTCACACTATCCCACTGACCTGGAGGTCCCCGTGTGTTCTCTTAACAGAAGAACTTGGTTCAGATGAAGGCTGGTCCTACTTGTGAGCTGTGCCAACATGTTATCAAAGAGATCATCAAGTTGCTGGAGGGCAACCAGTCTAAGGTGTGTCTCCTCAGTGGTCATTCCCCTCCCAGGATCTACCAACATTTGTTGAGTCCTTCCAAGGGGCCGGGCACTGCAGGTCCGGGCTCCTTCTCTGTTCGTTTCAAGCCGGGTTGCTTTAGTATGAGAGTGAGATGGGCAAGCTGGGTTTGTCCTCATGAATAAGCCAATTTCTAGCTCCTTGAAGATAGTTCTGTGCCCTAGGCACCTAGGACAGGCCCTCTTAGACCATAAAATCACAACCACAGAGGAGGAAGACAAATTTTCTACAGCAAGGCAGGATTTCAGCAAATGCTTAAAATTCAATCAGCTGGCTTAACTTTAGGAGACAGGCCTGAGACCCTCCTTCCCCTTCTCCCTGTCCTTCTCCCCTCTCCCATCCCCCCGCCAAACCCCAACCCTTTATAACCCACGGCATCAGAACCTGAGTCAATCTTACACACTGTCTCCTGGGGTATAGGAGGATGTGATTAACGCAGCAGAGGAAGTGTGCTCGGTGATCCCCAGTTATGTAGCTGGGAGCTGTGGAGACTTGGTCAACACCTTTGGCCCCAGTATCATGCATCTACTCCTGGAGGAGATTGACCCTGACTCCATGTGTAGTATTCTTAATATTTGCCAAGGCAAGACATCAGCACATGCAGGTAAGGAAGGAAAAAAAAAAACTCAGTGGACCTCTAGCTCAGGGCTCAGGATGTCGTACGTGACTGGTTGTTGCACGCATCATGTTGCCTTTCATGTCCCTTCCTGTTCTGCAGTTAACATAGCCAGACTTAAGAGTGGTGTCTTCTGTGACATGTGCAAAAAGATCGATGGGTATTTGGACCGGAACCTGGATAAGAACAGCACCAAGGCCATGATTCTCTCTGCCTTTGAGAAGGCTTGTAGCATGTTGCCAGGTGTTTACAAGGATGAGGTAATGCCAGGCATTAAGACTCCTGGAGTTAGAAAGGCCTGGACTCTCTGTGGGGCCCCAAAGTGCTGGCACTGATCATCTTCCTCCTGTCCTCATTAGAAAGAGGGTTTTGCTTTTCATCCTGAAGCCAGTGGTCTGAGGACTCATTCCTAAAGCTGGGCTAGCTGACAGGCCCAAGACAGGCCTCTGAATTGAGCAGGGAGAGCCCATGACTCTCCTGGGAGGGAGGTGTTGGGCTTGGGGAGGGCTGAGTTGGAGGGGTGTCTCAGAAGTGGCCGGGGCATGTTGGGAAGCTGGGCTGCTCTGTGGTTGGAGTACGCTGGCTCCTGGAGACTGCTGTGTGGCTCCAGCCCTCTTGGGTTGTCTGAGTGCTGTCCTTTGTTCTGCTGAACAGTGTGACGCGTTTGTGAAGGAGTATGAGCCGGTCCTGATTGCAGCCCTGCACGATGAGATGAATCCTGATTCTCTGTGTCTGGTAAGCATGGCAGTGTGGGTCTGTTCTTGGAGCCCACGGGCACCTCCTGGGAGCTGACAGTGTCGTAGGCTCTGAGACCCTTCTGGGAGGTGGGATCATCCCTGTGGTCTGTGGGCCCATCTCTGGGGTCTGGCCAGCATCCCTTCCCACCTCATGGAACCCAAGAGAGCCTGGCGCTTTGGTCTAAGGACCACCTCACTTTCCCTGGAACTCAGTCACTCCCTCACAGGTGGGAGGAAGGTGCGGAGGGAGGGCACCTGGGCCCATCTCATTCTGCTTTTTCACTTTCTTTTCTCCCCATATAGAAAGTTGGAGCTTGCCCCAAAGCTCCTGCTAAGCCTCTGTTGGGAAGGGAGCAGTGTGTCTGGGGCCCAAGCTACTGGTGTAAGAACATGGAGACAGCTGCTCAGTGCAACGTAAGTCCCTCCCACTGCCCACCGCTTTATCCCAAACTTTAGGAACCCCAGGTCAGCTCTGGATAACGAGTCTCTTCATTTGTTACTAGATTTTTTTGGGTTGAAGGTGCTGTTCATTTAGACTCCACTTAGAAGAGCCCTTAGGTCCTTTGGTCTTATCTTTGCCCTACTTTCCTCACTGGGGTGTTGTGAGGAAAGCAGGTCATGAAACTGGTAGGGATGCGGGTTGAGTGATATCTAGCCTACACCCAGGAAAGTTATTTCAAATAGAGAAGGAATCAAAACTATGTCTCCTGATTCCAAGGTGAGCACTCTTCATGTGTGATATGCCTCTTATTTTTTGGGGTCAGAGTGGTCAAACAGGCAGCAGATGTTTGGTGTGGCATGAGTTTCTTTTGTCTTGGAAGCCTGCAGAAGTGTTTTTCCTTCAGCATGGGTTCTGTTTTGGTCATATTTTAACTTCTATCATGACTAGCCCCAGCCTTGATTATCAGATCTCATATAGTGGGTAGGCTGGTGGCCCTGCAGACTTTAACAAGTGAGTCATATTTTCTGAGGTTGGTTCTTTGCCTAGGAAGCACTGGTTGAACTTTGAGTCCAAGGCTGTCCAAATCTTATCCTTTAGTACGGTCTATCTAGACTTAGGGATTCTTTCCTTCCACACCAGTAGGGCTTAATGAGGCTAAGCAGAGAACTAGCTGTAGTTATCTCTAGGGTTTAGAGGGGAAGGTTTATTTTTTGTTTGACAACTCAGGGCAGAGGGGGGATGTGAGAGTTCTCCTTGGCTCTGGGGAAATGACCTTGAGAGTCTGAGATTGGGCCAATGGAAATGCTGTCCTGAGGCTCAGTTCATACCTGCATCCATAGATGTAGGGGCATTGGTCAAAACTGTGGCCCAAAGGAAATCTGGCAATGTCCTTAGGAAACGTGGACAAGCCCAAGAAATCTCCAGTACCATGTTTTATGGCACAGCTGCTGCCTCTTTACCGGCTCTGCCTCTGGGGCTGAGTAAGTGGAGACAAGACCCCCCTCCCTTCTCTAGGAGTAGGTCTGGCTGACAAGGAGGTTGGAACCCCTCTTTTTGCCTAGTGCTCCCTCATGATCCTTTAGGTGTCCTCCTCAGTTCTCTCCCAGGGCTTGGCCACTGCAGGCTGGGGAGAGGGAAGGCTTTCTGGGTCATCAGCCTTGGGTCTTTTGGTCCAGAGGGTGTCAGAATAATGGATGGATTCTCCTCTTTGTTCAGTCTTATGCTTTGTTTAGGGTTTAGTGACAATCAGCTCACAGTGACATAGTAGAAATAGCCCAGGATTTCGAGTTAGATGACTTGGGTTCATGTTGTGGCTGTTCACACTCTCTGTGTGTTTTGGGGCAAGTCACTTTGCACCTTCAAGGAATCGATGCTGCCTGGCAGATGGGGATAATGTCCATACTTTTACTAAGTGCCTCTGTCATAAGCATTGTGTGGAAGGTGGGTGTATAAAGCTCTTTGTAAATAAGAAAGCATTAGGCCAGCGATTCTTAACCTGGGTCTGCTAAACTTTTTTTAAAAAGTGTATTTTGATGGCTACATTTTAACACAATTCATTTCCTTTGTAATGTTTTGCATTCTCTACATTAAGAACGTTATTCTGAGAAGGGTTTCATAGAAGGCTTCACCAGATGGTCAAAGGGGTCCATGACCCATGAATTAGATGAATTTCAGCTGTCTTCTTTGCTTAGCCAATTGCTTTAAGTAGGTGAAACTTGGTTTCTGTCTCTGAGTGGTGTGGCTGTGCTTTCCCTGGGGTTCATGTCCCCATGCCAGGGAGACCATGTAGGGTACCTGGGAAAAATGTTTCCAGGGCACTTGTGGGCCCTGCCTGCCTCTCTCAAAGAGGAAACAGTCTGGAAAACTTGTTTCCATTGGCAGTGAAGTCAGCAAGCATTTATTAAAGGTATATGCCTGGCATCTTGCCCCGCTCTCTGCATCAACTCTTTTTACTTCATCAATCTCAAACCCTGGGGGCACCACTTTTAGGGTTTAACTAAGAAGACCCACTCTGAAATCTTCTGCATTATCAGTCAATCAGTTAACATGCATTTATTAAGCATTTACTATTGATATTATTATCCCCACCATACCCTCAAGATGAGTACCCGGGCTGGGTACAGCTCCTGGTGTTGTCTTAGGTCTAGATTTGGAAAGGAAAGTAGTTTGGGGTGATTGTCTTTGGAAGGGCTTAATTTTTTTCCCTCTCTCTCTACTAGGCTATTGAGCACTGCAAGAAACATGAATGGGATTAGAGGAGCGCCCTTGTGTCTTGGAGAAATTGCAACTTCTTTCCTATTTGTATGTCTGAGAGAAGGGAATATACAGATCTGATTTTTTTTCCTGTTTTTCAAATAAGCCCAAGTTCTCTTCTTCCTCCATCTCATCTCTCTTTTGTTCCATTTATCCGTTGTTTCCATGGGTCTGAGAGGCGCTCCATTTGGCCATGTCGCCATGCTCTTTCCCCCTCTGCTAGATGAATGATGTGTCATGACTGCATCATAGACTAGAGTCTGGGTGTGATGGTGGAGGTGTGGGTTTGGTGGAAGGTGGGAGCCTGTGGATAGGGATGACAGAAGCATGGGACCAAAACCAATGATAGCCAGGGGCTTCAAACTTATAATCACTTAGTAGTGTTTAGAACTGTCCTAGGCTGAGGCTGGGAGAGCCACTCCCTCTATTACTGTCCCCCCTAACCTATTGGTCACCTTATATTAGGGGCAGAAGAAAGGCATAGTTTGTCTTCAAGTGTAAGACCTCAGAGCCAGAGTCCTTAGTTTTTTAAATTGGTTTTCTTGCAATGTGGAGGGGTCCCAGTCTCCTTACTGGAGGAAGCTGGTGTTGGCTTAGAAAGAGCAGGGGAAGGTGAGGGGAGGTGAGGTTTTGAATTCACCATAGTTGGATTGAGGGAGTCCAGCTCTTAACGTGGTTTCTTTGAACACTCCTACCCTTGAGTTCTAGCCTGTTTTCTATTTCTTTGTGATACCTTTCCTGAGCCTTCGCTTTGAAGTAGATTTGGGGAAGTGGGACAGAGCAGTAACTGGGGTTGTGTTTCAGGAGGGGCTGCTGTGGGGAGAATGCCTACAGGGTGGGGGGAGGTTGTGGTGAATTCTTTCTTCTCTGAGACCTTGATTTACATAGCAACCATAGCGATGCTTGTTTAGTTCAAAGACAACGAATCTTTTTCTTCTAGCTCTGGACGAATGTTAGCTAGTGTCTGTGGCATGCCTTACATAGAACTCTGGCACGTATCACACAGTCCCAGGTCATTGCTGTATCCCCTTCTTAGAGGCCTTACCTTAATTATCATAATAATTTTTAGGCTAACGTGGGGGACAAAATTCTACATTTCTTTTTTTTGGCTATGCAATGGGGTTAAGTGACTTGCCCAGAGTCACACAGCTAGTAAGTGTTAGGTGTCTGAGGCTGGATTTGAACTCAGATCCTCCTGAATCCAGGGCCGGTGCTCTATCCACTGCACCACCTAGCCACCCCTAAAATTCTGCATTTCTTGCTTCCTAGTAGAAAAATGGTTGTCAATTGCAGTCCTAGATGAGCACAAAGGAGGCTGGGATTTGGTTTTTCCTCTCTCCTTATAATAATTGCACCCTTGGCTCTACTATGGAATAGACTAAATACTGATGATTTTTTTTGTTTGTTTTTGCCCTAAATCTTTCTATGATTCACAATAAAAGTTATGATAAATTATAGGCTTTTGTTTGTGATAATTCGTCCATCACAGGTATGTGGTAACCTTCCCCTTGGTTGGAATAGGGAAGCAGAGAGAGCCCAACCCAGAAAAGGGTGATTGCTGTAGTCTTCCATATTCCTATCTAGCTCTCCCTTCTCCAGCATCCCACCAGCCGAAGGCTCCTGAAGGTCAGTTAAGAGGCCAAGGTGAAGTTCTCCCCCAGCCCCACTCCCCTACCCACCACCTAAGAGTACACGGGTGAGATTTACCAAATCCAGAGTGTATTTCCGGTTCCTTTGTTTAAACAGACCATTCCAAAAACTTTCAACAATGACTACTGAGAAATGAAACTGAGGTGAGGTGGGGGCAGGTAGAGGGATAAATTAATTTTTAAAAATTACACAACAAACACGTGACATTCAAAACCTGGGGAACCTCAGTTGTTTTGCTTGGTTAGTTGTATGTGTTTGGTAAGCCAGCAAAATGGAGGAAATGACCCTCCTCCCTGCGCCTCCCTTCCTGTTCCAGGGCTGGGGCAGTGGGACAGACTCTGCCGCCATCATGGGCATGGATTCACGGATGGGTTAGAAGCAGCGGGATTTTAACTAAGAGTAAGGTGCTAGATGGGGAGGGAGGTAGGTCAAACTAGCTTCCAGGGCAATGGCTGTTTCCCTCCTTGGATACCCCTTGCCCAAGCAATGGCTTCCTCCCTGTACAGGAGGATGGATCAGCCTGAGCTGGTGTGGGCTGGGGTTTAAGGAGGAGAGGGCAGCAAAAGCCTGAAGCTTCTTGTCGTGTTCTTGTCCTCAGATAAGTTATTTGTCCAACTCTTGGGCCCCCAGGAGTCAGGGCTAAGCTCCCCTGATGTCATCCGTAGATGCTAATAGATCCGTTTGGTTTTCTTAAAAAAATAACAGATTTTATGAATGTAAAGATCAGATGCTGAATGAGTGTCTGGTAAATGTAAAGAGTCTGGAGAGGTCGATACTGGGGGCTTGGGAGGTTGTTCCAGGCTTCCCCCTGGGCCCTCCCCCCAAGGCTAGGATAAGGAAGGTGCCCTGGCCCCTCTGCTCTGGGGTGACCTCTTCCGTGCAGTCTCGTGAGCTACCTGCCCGCTCGCAGGCTGGGCCCCGATGCCCTCACACCAGCGATGCCACTTCTAGTCATAACTCTGTGATTTCCAGTGGGCTCTCCATGATCACCTCCCGCATTTTGTGCATGGGGGTGGATTTAGCGGACTCAGTGCGGGCATTGCGCTCGTTGTAGGCCCCAGCTTCGGCGGTCAGCGTCTCCAGGGACCGACCCAGGACTTTCTGATCGTCCTCGGGGAGGCTGTTGAGGTCAGCGGCCAGGAGGGTGCCTGTGCTCCCGTGCACCACGTGGATTCCATCTGGCCCCTTCAGCTCAATGGGCTGCTTGTGGCGGAAGCGAAGGCTGCCCTGGCCCAGGCTCCCGTCCCCCGCCTCCTCTTCTAGCTCTGTCTGGATTAGCTGTAAGGATTAGCAGTCATGGGGTTATCGCTCAGCTCTTCCAAAGGCCCCTTCTGGGAGTTGGCCACTTGAGCAAACTTTGCAGGGTCTGGTCAATACCTTCCAGTGACCACCCTGTCTGCTCTCCCCATCCCTGCTCCCATCCCCCACCTCCCATTCTTTCCCTCTCTTCTTTAGCACAAAGAACACAACTTAGCAACCAAATCCAGCTCCCCAGACACCAGCTTCTCGAAACAATCCAAGCCAGAAGGCAGAAAGGACAGGCCCTGTTCTAGGAGAAGAGTGAAGGAGACACGGCATCCCCAGGGCTAGGGCACCACACGCAGCTTCCCTGCCCCCTCCGCCCGCCGTGCTACCTCTGAGATGGAGGACTGGCAGGAGGCGGCTTTTTGCATCATACGTTGGGCAAACAGTTTTTTGAGCCGTAGGTAATCCTCCAAGACCACCTTCAGCAGCGAGCCCTGAGGGAGGTAACAGTATTGAACCCCCTCCCTCCTCCACAGGCCCTCAGCACTGCCTCGGTGGGGGTGAGGGCTGCTCTCATCTTCCAGCTGCTACACAGAGATTAAGAGAGGGTCAAGAGGAAAGGGTGTGCGCTATCCAGGATGAGAGATCGAGGTTAGCTCTACGGCAGAGCAGGCCATTCAGGCCAGCGACTGAGAGGTTGCTCTGGCGTCACTACAGCCTAAGCTGTTACTGAGAGCCTGAGATTCCTAAGAGTGGGCCTGCCTGGAGGCGGGAGGATGGGCCGGATGAGTCCAGAATGGGTGCTGGTCTCTGTCTGGGCAAAGCCTGGGTTGAACTACAGCATCGAGGGTGGGGGTGAGGGCTAGTTGAGGATAAGGACCAACTGGCTATTTTCTCACGTCACTGATGAGCCCACCTTCAAGAAAATTAATCAAGGCCCAGGGGATGGAATGGATGATTGGGTGAGAGACATGAAGCAAATGGTATTTGTGGTCCGCCATTACACTTAGGTCATAGTGGGAAGGGCCTAGTCAATGTTAGGAAGAACTTTCTAACACTTAAGCTATAAAACAAGGCGTGTCAAGAGGTGTGTATGTATGTATGTGTGTATATGTGTGTGTGTGTGAGAGAGAGAGAGAGAGAGAGAGAGGCTGGGAGGGAGAGAAACCTCTGAAAGCTTAAAGGGAGGGGACAGAATGCTTTTTCTAGAATAGTTTTGGTTGTGTTCTTGGGTGGGTGCAGGGACTTAAGATTCCAAGGTCTTGCAATTCCTCATTTTTTTTCATAGGATATTTACGGTCACAGATTTACCCTGGGGCTGGGAGCTGACCGAGAGAGGATGAGGCTGCCTCCTCTCCCTGGAAGGGCCACCCCATTTCCAAGGGAGGCTAGGTCCACAAAGAGGAGAGGTGGAACAGATCCCAGGACCTCACCTTAATGGGCCCCTCCCGGATGATCTGGCCCAGCTTGGCGATGTTGTCATACTCCTGGATGGCAGCTCGCAGGTAGCGGTCATCTTCTGGCTTGACAGCTGATGGTTCTCTCCCAAATGTCCCCTGGGGACGGGATGGAGTAAAAAGGAAGCAAGGAGGGAGGCAGGTGCCTTTGAAGGTGGCTGAGCTTGGCTAAAACGTCCCCACCTGCTCCACTTTGGATTGTCCTAGTTCCTCTGGCATCCAGCTAAGAGCAGGGGCAGAGGTGACCAAAGGAGATGACCACTGAGTTCCCAAAGGCCAGGAGGACCTCACAGAGTTGGACCTGGGACCAGAAGCCCTCTGGGATTGGTGCCTGTTTTGTACCTTGGTAGAGGTGGGAAGGCTGAGAGGTGCTCTGGTCTGGTGGCAGGGCCAGAGGGTCAGGGAGGGTTAAGGACTCACGTGTGTGCGGGCAGGGCTGTTCCACAGGTCTGTGATCTCACTGAGGTTCTCTGGCAGGTCATCTTCATGCTCAGCCTGAGCGGCTAGCTCTAGGTTCCGGCAGAATGGGTCCAGCCACACAGGGTTGGCCCTGCAGGGAGGGTGCGCAGAGCTGGCTCCGGGCCACACAGGGCTAGACTTGCTGGCCTTACCCACCCAGCCCTCAGAGCTAACTTCAATGCCTTTGGCTGTACTTGCCAACCAGTTAGTGTGATCAGGGAAGGCTTTCTGAAGAAGGTGAGGCTTGAATCTCCCAGGGTGGGAGAATGAAGGGCTCATGGGTTGCTCTAAGGAACTCCAGGATCCTTTTAGCTTAGCTCACTCAACTACGAGCATGTCATTCTCCCTGTCTCTTTGGGCTTCTCACAGAACTTTCCCCGGATGGGGAGCAAAGAGGTCCTTAGGGTTTGCTTTCAAGGCCATGGCTTAGTGGTGGGAGGGGTGCTCCTTGTCATTACAGCCAGGAATGTAGCCCTGAGAGGGCAATGAGAAGGCAGCTGACCCTGGCAATGCCAATGGTGGCTCCTTCCTTCCCCCAGCACACGCAGACACACTCACCCATCGAAGGAGTACTTGTTGGTATTGGGCATGTCCATGATGTCTATAAAGCCTCGGTTCCCTGATAGAAGGCAATGGGAGGGAGGGGGGAATTGGAGAGACCATTCGGGAGGTGTAGGCATCACAACACATCCTCCATGGGGATTCTGCTTGGGATCCCCAGGTCCCAGAACAAAGATGGGGTGCGGGGAGGATGACAACTTTTCAGCGCCCACAGGCCCAATCTCTTGTTCTCTCCTTTATCCCTGCCTCTCAAGACAGGACAGCCCACGGCTACCACTCACCTGTGGATCCGGCCACAATAGCTTTGAGTTTCCTCTTGTGTCTGGAGAGAAGCAGAGAAAGTATGGATTAAGGAAGGAGGCCTAGAGGCAAGACAATCTTGGCAAGGGAGATGAGTGGGAGTGTGAATGGGGCTCCTCTGGATCTGCTCCCAAGTCTAAACCAGTCATAGGCTGAAATAGGAATTCAACCGAAAACAGGCCTGGAATCCTAGGCGAGTCTTCAAAAAAAAAGGCTTTTTAGGTCATAGAGTAGATGGAGCTGTGTAGGCTGAGTGTATTATTGAAGGCTGGACGGGGTCCTGGGCCCTGTGGAGTGTCCAGCCTGAGTGGCATCAAGGCAACCTCAAATGGTGTCTGCAGGGTTTGGGTTGATGGGAACAGGAGAATGGGGAGAAGAGTCTTGGTGGAGGGGTCCAGTGAGAGACGTCACTTACACAGTCCTATAGTACCAGTTCATGAGAATGAAGAGCATGGCCGCGAGGAAGAGGAGGATGGCCAGAATGATGATCGCCATCTGGAAGGGGAACCACTGGGTGAGCTTCTGGGGTGGGAGGTACCTAGTGAGGCCCTCCTATTCCCAGGAGTGCCCCTGAAGCTCTCTCCAGAGAAGTCTGACGTGGGTCTGACAGTTTCTGCTCATGGTGGAGGGCCCATTCCTAGGGTGTTGAGCCCCTGGATGAAGGATGCTATTCGAAGCCACCCACATCTTTGAACCTTCCCTATTACAGGAAAGCATAGGCCACTGGGCAGGTGCCCAGTGTGGGATGGTCTGCCCTCTAACCCTCCTCACAATCTCGTCCCCATCCCTGGGGACTCCTTGTCCCTTGTTCTCATGCCTGCAGGGCTGACATGTCGTCAGGGAGCCGGGGAGTGATGGCAGGCTGGACATCTAGCACATTATAGTTTCGGAAGAGATTCCTCAGCTGCTCCTTGTTTTCATCAATCATTTGGATCACCCTGGAAATGGAGGAGAGGAGACATCAGAGCTCCTGGCCTCCCCTCTCCTCCTTCCCCCTAAGAGCTATTTGTCAGAAGGCTGGCCCACATCCACAACCTGGAGCACTCTCCTTGCTCCTCTAGCAGCTTTCAAAATTCTGCCTTCTCCAGGAAGCCTTCCCTGATTAGAACCATCAGTCCTTATGTGTGTAGCCAGTTGCAGTTAGTGATTCTTTCAGGCACCTCTTCTTTCAAGAGAGTTCCTCCTCCAAAGAAGCAATGGCACCTCCCAGGATGGTTGGAGCCCCTTCCCTCCTCTCTCTCCATAGTGCTTAGAATAAGGTGCGGTTCATGGGAAGGACTGATTTCCACTCACCGATCGACATCCAAGATGCGATTGGTTTCTCTGTTCACCACGTGAATGAGCAGCTCCGTCTGCGCAAAGTTTACCCTGCCCCGCTGGTCCACATGGAACTGGGGTGGGAGAAGAAAGGGGGCATGAAACCTGTGACTTTGGGCAGGCCACAAGCAAGAAAGCCAATTTCCAATCATCTGGAGCCCTCTTCTCATTCCCCCCTCCCCCTTCCCTGCATTCCCCATAATACTACTACTAATAATACTACATAATAATACTCATAATAGCTACCATTTATGTTGTACTTGAAGGTTTGTTAAGTGTTTTACAAATATCATCTCATTTTGTCGTCATAATAACCCAGGAAGGTAAGTGCTATCATTATTTTCATTTTACAGATGAGGAAACTGAGGCCAAAAGTGACTTGCCCAGGGTCACCCAGCCAGTAAGTGTCTGAGGAAGTTTCTGAACTTAGTCCAGCAGTCTGTCCACATAGGGCACGCTGTACCTCCTCTCCTCTGCTTTTTACTCTCATACCCGCTTCCCCGTCCTGTGGGCACCAGCAGCTTTGAGAGGGGAGAATGGGGCTAGGTCCTTAAGGAACTGCATCGGCCTTAAAATAATGTGACCTGAGACTGTGATTTCCGTGGTCCTGACCCTGCTCTCACACTGACCTTGCTCCCCTTTGCCCTGAGTCACCCAGGGTTTTTGCACTCCCGACCTGGTCCCATGTCCCTCTGGCCTAGCACTCCCCTGCCTCCGCTGCTTCTCCCTCCCCCTGCCCGTGCCTCAGTACCTGAACATCATCGGTATTGACGATGGCGCCCGTGATGTTGGACAGCAAGCGGATGAACTCTTCCTCAAAGCCGCGCACTCGGTCAGGGATCTCATTGATGATAATCTTGACCCTCTGGTCATCCCGCAGGATGTAGATGCCCACAAGGGCGGTGTCATTGTGACCAGCAAGGTCCAGAGCGATGATGTCCACCACAAAGTAGCCCGGGCTGTAGACCATGAATAGGTCAAATGTGCGCAGGATCCCATCCATACTTCCTGAGTGGGAGAAGAGGTAAAGAAGGTGTTGAAAGCCAGGGAGCTAAACTGGGTCATTTCCCTAACCCTCTCCCCACCTCCCCAGCCACTGTCACACTAGGAGAATCGAAGACTCTGTTATCTGTGCTATGGAAAGGGGCCAAGGACATGAATAATCTCTAAGCTCCCCAATAGATAAGAAGACCATAGATTTAGGGCTCAAAGGGGCATTCGAGGACATCTAGTCCAACCACCTTATTTTACAAACAAGTAAACTGAGGCCCTGAGAAATGAGGTATCTTTCCTGAAGTTACTGTAAATAACTGATGTGTCTAGGCCAACTCATTACCATGCTCATTTACATAAATGTGCTGATGCAGACATGTATCAACTTGGGTACATACTCATAAATAACTATATACTTTTGAATGGATATATTACTATATGTGAAACCCAATTTTTGAGCTCTGCAAAAGATGATGCAGAGCAGGGGGCTGTTTACCGGCAAAAAAATCTTTTCCCAGTATTCTCTACATCTAAGACCACCTTGGATTTAATCTGTGGGCAGCCTACCAAGATCGCGGTTGAACTGACTTTGGGTAAGGGGCTTTTGGGGAGTGCAATGCAGAAGTCTGAGTGAGTAGAATGAAATGTCTGAGTGAGAGAAGGAAGAAGTAAAGTGAGTAGAGTCAAGGAAGAAGCCGTCTTAAGTGGAGAGACCTGCGAGTCACAATCAATCAGGTAAAGCTGGTGAGAGATAAGCCATGAGGACCTGCTGGGAAGCAAGACTGATTCTGTGCTGAGACCAGGCATAGGCAAGAGGGGCAGTGCCAGGGATCCCGAGCCCTGGGGAGGTGGGAGCCGGAACCCGTGACCCCTTTTCTACTCTGACAAAGCTGCTTCTTCCTTTTGCAGTTCACGTGTGTAAAGTTATACATTCTTTAGACTGTATTTCCCTGTTAGACATTGGAAATATCAAGTTGTGTGTGTATTTTATTTAATGTAATGTGTTGTAAAGTGTAACATAATGTAAATGTGTGTGTATTTTATTTAGTGTTTACAAATAGAAAGATGAGAGAGAGAAGAGAGAGGGAAAGAGAAGGGGGAGAGGGAGAGGAAGGAGAGGGGGGAGAGGAAGTGAAAAAAAGGAAGAAGGAGGAGGAGAAGGAGAGGGAGGGAGAGAGATAGGGGGAGAGTGGAGAGGAGAGGAGAGGAGAGAAGAGTACAGGAGAGGAAAGAGAAAAAGAGAAGAGAGAGAGAACATTTCCTGCTTCTGATTTCTGGGGTTGAAATATTAGTTCCAAATGCATGAGTGGCTGGCCTGGGGTTAGCAGAGTTAGGACAAAGTGGACTGTTACTGAACTGTTACAAGCCTGGCAAAGAATCACTAAATCCAGATATCCCTAGTTTAAAAGCATGAAGCCAGGCTGCACAGGGAAGGCATTTTCTTCCATTTGCTGGGATTTCCCCACAAAGTCGTTTCCCCACAAAGGGAGGCGGAGTGAGTTGCTTGGAAAAGGAAAGCCACACCACAATGAAAAGATGAGCTGATCTTTGCACAGAACCCAAAAGCTGGAAACTAAGGGAATGTCCGCTATTTGGGAATAGCTAAATAAATTATAGTGTATGAATAGAATTTAATATTATTTTGCCATAAGGAATTATGAAATGAACAGTTTCAGAGGAAATTGGGAAGATCTGTCTGAACTGATGTAGAGTGATGTGAGCAGAAGGGGAAGAACAATTTCTACCATGTGAACATTATGAAGAAAAACAAATTTGAAAGACTTCAGAACTCTGATCAACACAATGATAAACCATAAGTCCCGGGGATCAGTGATGAAACATACCACTTAGCTCTCGCCACAGAGGTGACAGACTTAAAATGAATACGCTTGTGAACACGGCCAATATGGAAATATTTTTTAGACTATTATTTGTTGCTTTTGAGGGTTTTATTTTTAATTTAAGAAAATTGTTCAGTTTAGGGTGAGCAGTAGGAATGTTTCCAAAAAACTCCCCAAAAAGTACGTGCTTAAAGAAAGTTCCCTTTAGGGGAAGGGGTGGAGGGTTGGGGGGGGCAGAACTAATTGTTTGGGGGCCTCCTACAGGTCCTCTGGTTCAGGAGATGACTGATAACTCAGGTTGCTTTACTCACCATCTCCCCCTGGTGGCTAACATATGCCTACTCAGGATACAGTTATGAGACACACACACACCTGAGCCCATGTTCTCTACCTAGACACATACACATACATGCACACATATGGTTTCTGAGACACAATAAAATATATATTCATAATCCATTTCCTTACTTTGTGGTACCCCAAACAACGTGTGCACATACCCACATGCTCAGGGGAAAGAAGACTGAGTTTGGAGTCAAAAAAGGCCTGGGTTTGGCTCTTACTAAGGGTGGGGATCCTTACTAACTGCTGTGAATGTAGGGAGGTCACAACTTTCCTGAGTCTGTTTCCTCATCTATAAAATGGGTATAGTAATACCTATGATACTTACCTCACTAACATACATTATACATTGCATATATTATCTTATTAGAATCAGTGAGGCTACAATGAGACGATGATGCAATGTGATCTGTAAATCTTAAAATGTTATACAAATGTCAGCTAGTATGCATTCAAGGAGAGACACACATGCACACACACACACACTCACATACATACATACGCCCTCTGAGCCTGGCCTCGCCCCACTTCCTACTCTAGCTCCATAGCTAGGCTTCCCTGGAAAACTCTAGGGTGACTGACCTCCCCTCCTTTTATCCTATCCAAGTTTAGGCCTAATGCCTGGGGGGCTCTGGGTGGGAGATCTGAGGGCTGGTGGTCGAGATTTCTCTCCCCTGAGATGGGTCCCCCACTTCCTCCCACCTTTACTCAGGACAGTTTGGCCCTTACCCATGGTGAAGACCTGACCCACATCTTCTGAGTCATTGGAGTGCTCTCGGAAGTAGTGGATGGCCAGGATGCTATAGAACACCAGGCTGTTGTTGCCAATGTCATCATCTGTAGCCAGCACCTGGATGAGCTCTGATCCCACCTTAGCATCAGTGGGCACTCCTGTGGGAAGCAGTCAGTGAGTTGGGAAGGAGTAAATGGATTGTGCGTGTACTGTGACCCCATGTTTTTCCCATATTCCTTCAATGCTCCCATGGTAGGGGCTGCCTCTCCTTTCCTCTTGGACCCTCAAAGACTCACTGAGCCACCATTGCAAGAGTGGGCGTTTCCATTGCCTGTCCCTTATGGGACAGAAAGCAATACAAATCCCCATCCTTTAGGTGAACATCAAAGACACTGGCCATTCAGCTCATGGACTCTCTCTTTAGGGCAGCCCTGGTCGATCAGAGATGAATGTTTTACGCTCATCTCAATCCCCTCTCTTGTGACTTGGGCCTTGGGGGATAGGAAAGCCCTGCTGGAGAGAGGGAGCTGAGATAGGACCCCCTTCACTCCCCCACACCCTCCAGCCCCAGGCCCCCAGACTGCCCCGTTGTGTCACCTGCAGTATACTCAGACTTTGTGAAGCGTGGAGGCTGGTCGTTGATGTCCTCTATGACAATTCGCACCTCTCGGAGCGTCAGGTCAGTTGTGAGGTCGAGGGCCTGGGAAACCCCTGGACCACGGGGCAGCGTCCAGCTCCGGTTGCTTGAGGCCTTGACGATGATGGAGAAGAGGGCTTCGCGTTCACGGTCCAGATCCCGCATTACCAAGAGTCTTCCATCTTTCTTCAGCAGGAAGTTTTCCTCCTCATTGCCAGCTTGGGGAGGGAGGATGAGATTCAGTGGGGGGAGGAAGGGAAATGGAGGAGCCAGCTGAGGCCTTATCCCAGGCTCAATCCAGCCCCAGACCTACTGCCCTCCTTACCTGCAATGAAATAGTAGACAATAGCATTGGGACCCTCGTCTGCGTCCACGGCTCCTGTCACATTGCCCACAAGGGTGCCAGGCTGGGAGTGCTCAGGCACAGACAGTAGCTGGTACTGGGGGCTGCCTTTCTGCAGGACCAGGAGAGCAGTCACAGGTGTTAGGGATGGGCCAGTGGCCAGGCCTCCCTGGGCTGGGAGTGGACAGAGCCCCCTGGGAAGGATAGTGGGTCAGATGCTGGGAGGGACACAAGAAGAATGGCTTTCTGCACAAAAGGGCTGGACCATGAGAACATGGTGACTCATTGCCTGGTGACACAGGATGTGGTCACTAGACACTATATTTGTCCTCAGAAAGGGAGGGGAGAGAGCGGAATACATGGACACACATTGAGACCAAACAGGCACATGTGTGCTTGAATGCATGTACATGTACATACTGAGACATGCATGACATTCGTGCACACACATGACTTACAGACAGGCATGCTCAAAAGGAAAAGAAAGAAAAAGGACCAGCAGAGTCAATTAAATCTCATTGTCTGATTTTCTTTTGGTTTGAGTGGTTGGAACTGGTTTCTCTGGCTGAGATCCATTACAGACTATGTATTATATACATTGGAGAAGGGAGGGGAGCAGAGGGGAGAAAAAGGAGGTGGGGAGTGCTCCTCTGTTCACATCAGTGCTACAGAGAACAGGGGGAGGATCCTGGCTGGAGAATCCCAGGCCAGTTTCCTACCACCCAGCCTGAGCCCTACTTGAAGGCAGGGGGAAGAGTTGGGGAAAGAAGGTTTTGGGCTCACTGGGGGTCTCACGAAGATGGGATCATTGTCATCAATGTCATCCAATGCCACCTGGAGGGGTTGCATGGTCTCGTAGGGCACTGGCTGGCCCAGGTCGCTGGCCACCAGGATCAGCTGGAGGGAGGAACTGAGGTTAGAGAGAGGTCCCTTGGGTTCCCCAGAAAACCAAGAAGCCCTTAGATGGGGCTGAGGAGAATGCAGGGGATCTTAGAACTAGGGTAGGAAAACTTCCAATCAGTGTAACTAGGGATCAAGCCAGGTGCATTTGTCTAAGACTCTCCTCATTGATGGAAACGCTATGAGTCTGCATTGAGGGGCAGAATTGGCCAGGGCTTGGGAAAGGAAAGACCCTTTTCTTGCTTCTGGCTTCAAGAGAGGACCCTCTTCAGGGAGAGACTCTTGGGGAAAGACTAGACTTTGGGAAACAGTAGACAGAGCTGAGATATCTCACTCCCAAATGCTCAGGCTCTAATCTTACCCCAGGGAAAATCCTCCAAAGTCTTTTGGGAGCAAGTTGGCAGTTGGGGATATATTGAAGCAGCAGCTCCCCTACATGTCTGCTGCTTCTCCAAGTCTTTTCTCTCTTTCAAGGAGGGTCTCCCTGAAGAGGGCCTGGAATGGCACATGTCATCTCTTGAAACCAGAAGCAAGAAAAAGGTCTCCCTTGCACCAGGCTTGAACCCGGGATCATACTGCTGGAGGTGCGGGCTAAAGCTGCAAGGGATGAGGTGATGAGGGATTGGTGCTGTCCAGTTAGGTGTCCCTAGGCTAACATTTCCCAATTCACTGGGCTGCACAATGCTTCTGGACTTGAAGTATATTGATGGACACCATGAACGATGATCCAGGGGTGACCTGGGGGGGGTAATTAATACTCCTTGGATAAAGGTATCATGAGGAACTTTTAAAACAAAACAGAAAAATGAGGCTTCCTTTGGTGTAGGAGAAATTAGTTTATACGTGTTGAGGATTTTGGTTATTCACTTTCAGGGTCAGAGATGTCATTGGTGGGGCACCCTTCCCCACACCGATGTCCATTCAATCTGCTCCTGCCCTTGCTGAGTGGCTGTAGCCAAAAAAGCCCGATCACCTGCTGGCTAGCTTTACGGTGATGCCCTCAGTTGGGCTGGCCCTCAGACAGCAGCCTCATCAGGCCATGTTTGAGAGCAGTGTCTCACTGCAGACTGGAGAATGTGTGCCACAGGCACAGTCCCTGAGAGCCCGGGGTCATCTCCTTGGCCTAGGGAGGCACACAAGGAGGACTATGGTGGAGGATACTGAGGCTGTTTCGTGTTGAATATTTCTGAGGGAATCATTTCTAGAACTAAAACATTCTCATGGAACTCCCTTTTACAGATCTCAGGCCATTAGGGTTCTACAGGCTGTGGTTGGAACACGCTGTCCTAGGTGGTGGAGAGACCAGAGATGGCTTTCTTTATCCCTTATATTCCACCCCTCCCCCCTCCCAATGAAAAGTGGAAACTGGGCATTTCCCCCAATGCCTTTAGGGGTAGTATGGCTAGGGACTGGATCTGTGATTTCATTGGCATTGGGAACTTCCAGGTGGGAAAACTCCCTCCACCAATGCTGGTTGGCACCCTGTCTGCAATTTAGAGTTGCCTATGGCACCAAGAAGATAAGTGATTTCCTGAGAGTTATGTAGGCAGTATGTGTCAGACACGGGAATTAAGCCTAGGTCTTCATGGCCATTAGTGACATCCAGAGGACCCTTACATTGTACACAGCCTGCTGCTCTCGGTCAAGACGTTTGGCCGTTTGGATAAGTCCACTGATGGGATCGATGGTGAAGTACTCCCAGTCTCGGTTCCCCGCTGTCTTCAGGAAACTGTAGCGAACAGCCCCGTTGAGCCCTTCGTCCTTATCTGTGGCGTAGACCTCATAAACGTTTGACCGAAGAGGGATTTCCTAGTAGAGCACAGGGAAGTTTGCCAGTTCTTTCTCAGATTATTTACATCTCCTGGAGTCCTCAGAGAGAATCCCAATTCCTAGAAGGGTTCCCTGGTGGGAGGAGTTTTTTGCAGGATCTTTGTGACACCTTGTATCTGTGCTTGGGAACTGACCCTTCCTCTGCACCGGGCGTGGGAGTGGGGTGGGAACCAATCTCTAACCCACTCCACACTATAGGAGCTGTGTCCCTCCTCCCTCCTCATAGTCTCTTGAGACCAACATAGATTTGGTAAGTTTTGGCAAAGATAGTAATATAGGGAGCCTAGTGAGATACCTAGAAAACCCACAGGGAATTCCCTGTTTGAGTGTCCCACGGTCTTCATGGCAGCCCAAGGCCAGGTATGGCCTGGGAACCCTTCAGAGTCCTATAAGATTTCTGTTTGACTTAATGTTTGCTACTGTCCTAATCTCTCAGAGGTCTGATTCAGAATGGGAAGGTGAGGAAGTGCCAATCGCACCATCCTTCCTCACTTCTGGAATAGGGCTTGAGCCTACCAGAGAGTAATTGTGTTGGCAGTAGAGAAGAGAACATGGGCAGCCCATATCCAGAGTGATAAGTAGTACTTTTGGCACTTAGGACAAGTAGCAAGCTGGGGCAGGCAGAAGTACCCTCAAATCAACAGTATTCATAATGTGAAAATAACATAAGAAGTAATTAAGACAAATGTTGAGGAGGGGAAATTAGTTGCCATGGTAACTATACTTTATACCCTCTAGGAAGCCTCCCTCTTCTAGGTCTGAGGTAGGGATGGGGGTAGGCTGGGAGGGGGACACACGTCATACCTCCAAGATGTGAAGGACGGTACCATTGGGTGGACGGACAAAAACTGGCCGGTTGTCATTGACGTCGATGACCTCCACGTAGAGCATCGTGGTGCCCCAGAGTGGGGGCTGCCCACCGTCTGTAGCTACCACTGTGAGGTTGAACCTCTCATAAGACTGTAGCGGCCGCCGGGTTATTACCAGGCCTGAATCCTTGTCGATTTGGAATGCCTCTGTCAGGGCAGAGGGTTGTTTTAGGAACTGTCTCATCACTCACAGAATTTCAAAGATGAAAGAGATCAGTGTGCACTTGTACAATAGTTTTGTCTGTCACACGTCTGACATGTTTTTTTTCCTAGATTTTGTTTGAAGAGCTCCAGCAATGGGGAGTCCACTACCTCCCAAGGCAACCCATCCTACTTTTGGATAACTATTTGCTAGAAAGCTTTTTCTTACATCGATTTGAAATCTACTTCTGCGACTTTGACCTTGCTCCTAGTTCTGCCTCCTGGGGTCAAATAGAAAAGTCTAATTACTTTTACACATGACAAGTCCTTCAAATTCTCAAAACACCCATCATGTCCCCTCTAAGTCATCTCTACTCCCAGTTCCCACTCTTTCCTCTAGCTCCCCTTGGGCCATCCCAATGCAGGAGCTACCGCTTATCCTGTTTCCTACTTACTCCACATCACCCATTCCCTGGGTCTTTCAACCATCGCCTGTTGCTATGTTAACATGTATATGATATCACATCCCTTACTTAACTCCCAAGGCATGCTGGCTAATGCTCCCTACTGAGGAAACTGAAGCTGAGTAGAGAAGTACCCAACTCATGATCACCTAGGAAAGGGGTGGTGGACAAGCCTGGTGTCCTGGTGGGAGAGGCCACAGCTTCAATAGTCTTTTCCCAACTCTTCTCTAAGCCTCCTGATAAGGCTACTCACCTACACCAGGGCCTTCAATGGAATAAGCCAGTTCTCCATTCTCCCCTTCATCCTGGTCAGTGGCCATCATGGTGATGACCGAAGTGCCCGCAGGCTCATTCTCATAAACACTGGTGCTGAATTGGGGCTTGGAGAATTGAGGTCGGCAGTCATTGACATCCAACACTTGTATCACCACCTAGTGTTTGGCGGGGGGAGATGATGAGCACAAAAGTCATTCTTCCCATAGATGAAAGATAAAAGGTCATGACCCTTTGGGTATTTGGACATATGTGTGAGGCAGCCTTAGATGAGGGAGGGGACACCAATGAGTTCCTTAGGGTAGGGTCTTATTCTTTGTTTATGGACAGGACCCTACCTTATAAGCCTGAACTCTGTGACACTCTCTCAATTCCTCCTGATTTTAGATGTTTCTGACCTTAGACATATATCTTTGTCCATATATCTAGATCTGTATATAACTATAGTTGATAGTCTCAACTTGGGGTCCTATCTGCTGAGTGTTTGCCCCACGATCATTTGGCCTGGTGACCGGACCCAGGCTGCTCTCTGTTCTTGATCCTGGGTGACCCATTGGTAGTGATTCAGTCTCTACTAAAGGTTTCCTCTGAGGTCTCATTAAGCATGGAGGTAACCCTGGGGTTTCAAAATATCAGGCTGTGGAAGCAAAGAGAAAAGGCTTTGAATACAGGGATGGAGAGGTATTGTGTGTCTGTTGTTGCCTGGTGACCAACCTCGATAAGTTTGTAGAGGCTCATTACCATGCCACCAGGCTGGTGGCAAATTTTTCAGTCATACTAATTCTCAAAAGCTGTCTACAAATGTTGCAATCTGTGTTGATGGAGAAAGTATGCACCTTGGGGGAAAAAACCAGATTCTTGAAGTAGAAAGGATCTAAGCCTTTGTTTTCTGACAGCTAAAATGTCCCACTTAGCGTGGTTTTGAGAGGAGTAGGGTGGCTTTGAAGGGGTCAAAAATTTCCATGAAAACTACCCTTCTCACCCCAAGTCTGATATCAGAAAGCTCCACCCTGCTATACTCTTGCTTCTGTGCTGTCCAGAACTTCTCAGTCAGGTGCCTAGAACATAGGCACTTAATAAATGTTTATTTATTGATTGATTAAGTGAATGTGAAGCAGGAGTGGGGATGTTAGTAGCATGGTGGCAGGAAGATGGGGCTTGTCTTACACAACTGGCAGCCTGTATTTCCTGGAAGAATCTGCCTGCAGTGACAGCTGGTCCCCATCCCTACTGACCCTATGTCCTTCCAAAATCATCCCCTAGTCAACCCATCCCCTACTTGCTTTACCTCAATATCCCTTAGAGCCACATTCCTCACCTGGACTGAATTCTCCCTGCGGTTGCTGGGTATGTCCCCAGGGTTGTCCTTGGCCAAAGCTGTAAGGATGTAATGAGCCTTTGTCTCTCGGTCCAGGGAGGACAGCACATAGATGTCTCCCTAGAAGAGCAGGACGGGATGGATTCAGCCTCTGTTCTCCTTGCCCAGCCTGGCCAGTCTAAGGCCTTTACTGGGGAATGCAGTGATGAAGAGATTAGGTGATGGCTAGCTGCCCCCAAAGGAGGTGGGAGAGGCTGGTTATTATCTCTCTGGGTGATAGGAGACTCACCCTTGCTGAACTTTGTTTCTCTAAATGAGGTAAGGTGGCTTCTGCCATCTCTGATAGCCTGTATTTTTTTTATGATCTGTTCCTTTTGGGGACATCATCTCATACTGGTAGTGATTGTTCCATAAGAAACTAGTGATGCATTCTTTCTCCACCTCTTTCTCTAGGGAGGCACTGCATGCTTCTGTGGGCTGTTAGTTCATTTGGTTTAGCCTTGTTGCTTATTTCTGGGTGGAGAAGCTTAGACTTTGTTTTCAAGTGCAAATTTTAATTTCTAGGCTTTTAGCTAACATAAAAGCCAACAAAACTGAGCGATTGTATTTTACTTATTGGTCATATGTATATAGGAAGGGGAGAAAGTATTCCTTGTTCAGAGACAGGAAACTCTGGTCAGTGAATGATGACTTGGGGGCTTGGAGCTAATTTATAACCACTGGAAAAAGTGGGAGAGGTTTAAGTTAAACTTGTAAGCCTGACAAGAATCCCAGATCAATATACTCTTAGTTTGAATCATGAGTTGGTTAGAACATAAGGTTAATAACCCACGCCCTAGAGAGTTTCCTAAATCACTGGGTCACACAGGCAGTATGTATCAGAGGTGAGACTTAAACCTAGTTTTGCCTCATTCCAAGGCCAGTTCTCTATCCACTTGGCCACACTGTCTCTCTATAAAAACATTTACTTAGTGACAGATTTAAGAGGAGATGGGGTTTCCTACACTCTACCAAGTACAGGGCCAGAAAAAAAAGGGATTCTTTAATGTGGGAAGAATTACTCATACATCTTTTAATGGCTACAAAGGGTTACTATAAATAGAACGGTGACTCACTGTCCTGCTTGTCTGCTAAGAAAGAAGCAGCAGAAATTGGTTTAAACTAAGAGATTCTCATAAATTTTAAGAATGATCTGATAACTAGCATCACTGGCTGGTACAATGGTCTTCATAGATTTAAAACTGGAAGGAACCTTACAGATCATTGTACTTCTTGTGCCCATTTTACAGAGGAAGGAACTGAGGTGCAAAGGGGAAAAATAACTTGCCCAAACAGCTTATTAGTGGCTGATGTGGGACTTGAACCTGTATCTTCTATTCCAGTGATGTTTCCATCAAGTCATGATGCCATCTCAAGAGTGGCTGAAGGTTGCTACAGAATTGGCTATACTGGGAAATTAAATCTTCATAAGTCTGGGAGGGTTGAACCCAGAGGAATGGAGATGAATGTGATGCTCTCTAGAAGTCTTTCAAGTCTACAGTCCTGGGATCCTCAGCCATTACTCTCCTCCCTTTTTACCCCTCAGTCTCTCCCATGCATTTACCATCCCCTCTCCATCCAGTCTCTCCCATGCATTTACCATCCCCTCTCCATCCAGTCTCTCCCATGCATTTACCATCCCCTCTCGACCTTGTAAGTTCCTTGAGAGGAAGGGCAGCTCCATTTTTCATTTTATTCTTTGAACCCCCAGTGCCTAGCATGACACCTTGTATATCCTGAGTGCCTAATTAATGCCTAGTGATTGACTCATTTACCGTGGTGGGGTTGATCCCAAATTTGCCTTCTCCGTCACCCAGGCTGTATTCTATGAGGGCGAAGGGGCCTGAGTCTGCGTCAGTGGCGGTGACAGTGAGGATGATTGTGCCCACTGGTGCATCCTCAAACACAGATTCCTGGGGCCAGGTAGGAAGACAGAAGGGAGAGACAGTCCAGGCATCAGTTAGTAAAGGTTCTTAATACTTCACTGCCCCTGTAAGCTTGGGAGATCAAGGCTGGTGGATTCTCTACCATGAGGGTAAATGGGGGATACAGGGCAGGTCCTTCTGGCACTCTTAACAATAATAATAATAATAATAATAATGTTAATGGCTAGCATTTATATAGGTTTGCAAAACACTTTATGATACATTATATCACCTTGGTCACAACCATGTGTTCCTGTTATTATCCCCACTTTACAAATGAGGAAACTGAGGCTGAATAAGATTAAATGACTTGCTTAGGACCACACAACTAGTAAGTGTCTGAGGTGGGATTCCTAGTCCAGCACTCTAATCCACTTTTCTACCTAGATGCCCCAAGATCAAGGTGGGTTGTGGACAGGGGCTGCATTAAATCACTGGCTGACCTCCAAGTAACATTCCACATGATATCACAAATCCCTCACAATTCCTTCCCTTGGAAGACTTGCCCAGGGTTTGTTACATCACAGAAATGCGCTCATCCTGCTGAGTGATGGCAGCCTATCCCTGCCTGCCCTGACCATCCTGCACCTCTCCCAGAAGCCTCAATGATATCAGATCATCCACCTGATAGGAGGGCTGGTCAAAGATGGGATTGTTGTCATTGATGTCTACAATCTCCAGGTAGACAGGGATCTCCGCAGCCCTGGGAGGGGAGCCATTGTCTGCGGCTTGGACGGTGAAGTTGACCCAGTGTACCTCCTCATAGTCCACAGTTCGGGTGGCAATGACCTTCCCTGAAATACACAGGAATCCACCAATTTTCCCCATGCCTTCCTCAATAAGAGAGAGAGCTGAGTGGGGCATGGAGCTAAAATTCACTTGGGAGGCAATATTGGCAGCAGAAAGGGGCACCAGAGTACCGAGTTCCAATTCTATTTGCTGCCTGTGTGAACTCAGGCAAACTACTTTCCCTCTCTGATGAGTCTCGATTGCCTCTTCTGTAAAGTGAAGGGAGTTGTACTCGATTGTTTCCAAAGTTCCTACATGAACTCTCAATCCCATTCCCTTCTGTCTCCTCCAGAAGATTGACCTTATTATAATCCCCCTTCTTTAACTTTCAGTCTTTCCCAATCTGCTGGCACTTTCCCTGCTCCCTACCAACATGACTATCATCTTCCCCTCTCCTTAAAAAACCCTGTTAGGTCACTTGATTCTTCTATCCCCATGATATTGTCCTATAACTCTCCTTTCCTTAGTTAAAGTCATTGAAAAAGTCATCTCCATTTGGTGCTACCCCTTTCTCTTCTTCCACTCTCCTCTAACCCTTCTTCCCTCTAGCTTCAGATCTCATCCATCATTCAAGTGAGAGCACCCCCTCCAAAGTTCCTGGGAATCTCTGCGTTGCCAAATCCAATGGCCTTTTCTCAGTTATCCTCCTTTCTCTGCAACATTTAACACTATTCACTACATCCTCCTTCTGGATACTTTGCTCTTCACTGCGGGCACACCCCAACCTTCTGTCCTGGACTCCCTTCTCTTTTCTCTCTTGGCTCCAGGTGTCCTCTCTGCTTGTCTGTCCCCTGTATCTGGAATGCTCTCCATCCTTACTTCTAGCTTCCGTGGTTTCCTTTAATCCCAACTAAAATCCCATCTTCTTTTTTTTTTAAGCAAAAAAAAAGCCCTGTTTTGTATTATTTCAGGTAAATTTTTCTAAAGTAAAATGCAGTTTACCCACTTCCATTACTTTTTTTTCAACAGTTTCTTAATGTTTCTTTTTTCTTTTTTAAATAATTTATTTTGATTTATCAATAATCACTTCCATATGCTTTTGAGTTGAAAATTTTTCTCCCCCTTCCTCCCCACCACCCTCCCCAAGATGGCGCACAATCTGATATAGCCTATGCATTTACATAAAAATCCCATCTTCTACAGGAAGCTTTTTGTAATTCTAGTGCCTTCCCTTTCTCAATTATTTCCTGTTTATCCTGTATGTAGCTCATTTGTAAATATTTTTTGCTTACTGTTTCCCTCATTAGATTGAGAGCTCTATGACTGTCTTTTGCCCCTCATTGTATCTTTAGGGCTTTGCACAGTGCCTAACACGTAGTAGGCACTTACAAATGTTTATTGACTGACTTGGTGATCTAAGTAGCTCCCATGAGTTCAATGATCATTTTTATGCATTTCTATGCTGATTTATTTATCCAGTCCTAACATCTCCCTGACCTTCAGTCTTGAATCGTCATCTACCTTTCAGACATTTTGAGCTGGCTGTCTCATGGGCATCTCAACCTCATGTTCAAAACTGAACTATCTTTCCCCTCCAGATCCACCCCTCTTCCAGACTTCCTTAGTTCTGTCAAAAGCACCTCCATCCTTTCTGTCACCTTGTTCTGAAAACTCAGTATCATCCTGGATCCTTCACTTTCACTCATTCTACATTTCCCATCAGTTTTCAAATCTTTGTCTTTCTCTCCAGGGAATCTCTCATATATTCTCTCCATTCAGCCACCAGCCTGGGTCAAGCCCTCACCCTTTCAATGGGACTATTGGAATAGCCTTTGACCTGATCTCCCTGCCTCATCTCTCTCCCTTCCAACCCATCCTCTATGCAGCAGCCAGTGTGATTTTCCTAGGATGCAGGTCTTCTCTACTCAATAATCTTGAGTGATTCACTATTATTATTATTATTATTTTTGGCTAGGCAATGGGGTTAAGTGGCTTGCCCAGGGTCACACAGCTAGTTAAGTATCAAGTGTCTGAGGCTGGATTTGAACTCAGGTCCTCCTGACTCCAGGGCCAGTGCTCTATCCATTGCGCCACCTAGCTGCCCCTATTCACTATGATTTTTAGGATCAAATATGAACCTTTCTTGTTGGCATTCAAAACCTCTTTAAAACCTGACCCACTCCTGTCTTTCCAATCTTCATATCTATTCCTCCCCTCCATGGACTCAGTGGTCCAGCCATACTAGCCCATTTCCTGTTCCTCACATAGGAAGCTCCATCTCCCACTTCCATGTCTCTGCATTGGCTGCCTGGAACGCTCTCTGTCCTCAGTCAGTCAATAAGCATGTATAAAATGCCTAATACGTGCCAACATAGTTCTTTCCACTAGAATCTCTGGTTTCCTTCAAGACCCGGTTCATATATCACTTTCTGCCGAGGCCTTTCCTGGCACTCCTGCTGCTAGTGCCTTCTGCTCTAAGGTGACTTGGTGTTTACTTGGTATGTATGTTGCATACACACATATGTAAAGATATACATGATACACGTGTGTGTACAAGACACACATGATATATATACATGTGACTTATATTAGCACGTGCATGTGCATATACATATACACATATATGTATGTATGTGTGTGTATGTATTACTCCTTTAGAATAGAACAGGCAGGGACGGTTTTAGCTTTTTCTTTGTATGTCTTACGAAAACAGTGCTTGGCACATAGTAAATGCTTAGTAAATGATTGTTGATTGATTGTTTACAATTCTATGTTCTATGATACCATCAGGTAATATGGGGAGCTGGTTTAGGGAGAGACCACAAGGCGAATCTGAGTAAAGTCTCTTTAGGAGATATACTTGTAAGGTGGCAGCATTTAGCTGGAGGACCTCCAAGTTAGAGGGTAACTGGATTATGTTCTAATTACTCTCTGGTGGAGGGATGAAGAAGACCCTAGGGGTCTAAAATAATCAACACCAAGGGGCTAACGATTCTTATGCAGACAATTTTCCCTTCTAGCCTTTCTGCCCCTACACTGATTACTAGTGGTAAATGGGGAGATGGGTGAATTATATCTCCTGTAAGGTTCATGCCCCAACCCAGGGTCAGGCACATCCCTTGTTTCTCTCATCAGTGGACTAAGGAGTGAATGGGAACATTACCACCTTGGAGTCTGTCCCAAAAACAAAATAATAGGGAAGGAAAGTGGGGTGTAAGTCTGGAGAATTGGCAATATCTCACCAATCCCCATCTCCCCAAGGGTAGAGAAGAGGCTCATCTGTTTCCCCTCCAAAAGAGCACTATGGTATAGTCTGGGTATCCGGCTTACCTGCTGATGAGTCTTCCAATTGGACGTACCCTGGGGGTACCAAGTTGAGCAGGGTGTAAGTGATCTGCCCATTGACCCCTTTGTCTGGATCATAGGCTGACACAGCAATGAGTGTGGTGCCCGGTGTTGCCCCCTCCAGGATCCGCTCTGTGTAGTAGGTGATCCCAAAGGGCCGGAATTGGGGCGTGTTGTCATTGACATCCAGAATATTGACCGTCAGCTTGGCTGGGAGGGGGAGACAGAGGAGAGAAGCAGTGACCAGGGATGCAGGAGGATGAAAGGGGTGGGGAGAGACAAGTGATTTCAGTGGAGGGAGGCTGTGTTCTTGCTGCCTAGGCCCTCTTCTTACATTCTCAGGGCACTGCTCATCTGGGTAGGGAGGAAGGCCTGGGTCAGAGAGTGTTGCTTTAGGATGCATAGGGACAAATGGGCTGGAAAAAGATCTGGGGGCACAGGAGAGTTAAAATGAAAGGTAAGAGCTGAGTAGGTACTCCAGAGTTAGTTTTAATGTCCATCTCTCCAGGAGTCCGCAGGAATTCCATGTAGAGAGACGGTTGTAGAGAAAATGAGGTAGGAGAGCCAGGCATGCTCTCCAGAAGGGTCTCCAGGCCTCCACCTTGTCCACTCTTGGCCCCCGAGCCTCAGTTCTCAGCTGCCCCAGCCTTCCTCCAATTTCTGCACCCTGTCCCAAATGCCTTATACACATGTCACCACCAACAAAAAGTTCCCTATTACTTTACGGCTTACAAAGTGCTTCCTCTGCCACCATCTTCTGAGGTGTGTAATGCAGGTAGTTTTCTTTTTATTTTAAATATGAGGAAATTGAGACTTGCTCAAGAAAACATAGCTAGGGCTATAGTAGCCCAAATATTGACTGCTCCTCTCCCAAGTCTGCCTTGTATAAAACCTGAGAGTAATCCTTACAGTAATACTGTTTCAGTGTGTATATGTACATATATACATACATATATAAAATGTATGTGCGTAATATATGTGTAATATATATGTATAAAAATATTTTCTCTTTCAAAAGGATGTTATTCCGGGGGTGTTGGCAGGGACATGCTGGTAAATGTTTAACAATTGCTGTCAAAAAAAATGTACAAAAGCCATGTATTTTGGTTTAATCTGCACTATTAATATTTTCTCCATCACTTTTAAAAGTCAAGACAATCAGGGGCAGCTAGGTGGCACAGTGGATAGAGCTCTGGCCTTGAAGTCAGGAGGACACGAGTTCAAATCCAGTCTCAGAGACATGACACTTACTAGCTGTGTGACCCTGGGCAAGTCACTTAACTCTGATTGCCTCACACACACAAAAAAAAAAAACAAAAACCAAAAACAAGTCAAAAAAAAAGTCAAGACAATCCACAAGACAACAAAACAAAGAAGCCCCGAGTTGTGGTATTTGTCAATTTCTAAGGTGTAAATAATAAATGTTCACACTGAAAATGAAAAAATTTTAATTTGTTTAAAAATTCCACACCCCCCCAGGGGTGGATACTATATCCCTCCCCTTAGCTCTTGAGAGCTCGTGTCCAAGCTGGCTCCAGCATGTCCCTGGGAACAGCTTACATTTCAGGATAGTTTATGTTTGGACCAATACAGTAAGTGTTAGAGGCTGGGACTTAAACTCAGGTCTACCTTCAAATACACTATTTCCAGTGTGTGCTTAATGTAAAAAGGGACGGACAAGCAGTAAGGAAGACCTGGGTTCAAATCCTGCCACAGATGCTTGCAAACTTGTCAGATCCTGAACAGGTCACTTAACCTCTCCCAGCCTCAGTTTCCTCCTCTGTAAAATGGGGATAATAATAGATAATAATATCTCAGGATTGTTGTGAATATCATAGGAGAAAATGTATGTAAAGTACTTTGGAAACCTGAAGCACTGTATAAATGTTGGTGATGATTTCTATCTTTTCCACATAAGAATCTAAGTTCCTGTGGGGGAGTCTGTGTCTTTCTGATATGTCTTCATGGTATGAGGCTCTGATCACAGTGGGTTCTTGGTCCAAGCTCACTGCCTGACTCATCTTCTGATCTGAGGAGACAAAGCTTCCTGTGGAAAGTAAACTTGACCCTGGTCTTAGAGGCTGGCTGAGGTAGCTGCCTACGCAGAAAAGCAGTTCTGCATTGGAGCTGCCCCTCCCAAGTCACCAGCAAATAACTGAACTTTATGTTCCTCCTCCTTCCCACTCCAAGATGATTCTGCTCCCAAGACTCCAGTATATTCTGTCTCCCCCTTCCCCCTAGACAGCGCATCAAAAACAGTCTGTCGACATGCTCCTTCTAGAGAAATAGGCAACAACTGTAGTAGAGTCAGATCACACTCAATGAGTTTGTGTGGGAGTTGCCAATATGATTTAGAAACAACTGTGGCTCTAACCAACTCTAGGATTAGTGAAAGGTCATGAATTACCAATAGTACTCTCTATTTAAAGATATGTAGTCAGAGTTTCAAATACTCAGTGTGGGTAGATCTTTTTGTGAATGAGAAGGGCAATTTCTGGAGTCACCACCAAAGCTAAGTACTGTTCTTGTGAGAGGTAATAAGACACAGTCTTTGACTGATCCCTAGAAGCTGTTAAAAATGGAAGTGAGTCCAGTTGAAGGCCTTCAGCCCAAACCACTAGCGAAGATGCTAATGTCTCTTTTCCTTATCATGAAGCTTAGGGCTTCTGATTTCCTGGTTGTCTAGCTATCACACCTCTGCTGGTTTTGGGCTAGGGAGATCTCCAAGGAGTGAGTGCAATCTTAGGTCTTCTACTTCTCAGTCTAGTGAAGGGATTTCTATACTGGAAAGGGGGTTGGATTGTATGACCTTGACGTTCCTTTCCAATGGTAGGATTCTGTGATTGGAGAACAAATATTGTCCAGATATAGGGGACTTAGAGAAGTTTTCTTATCCCTGCCTCCAAACAGGATGGCTCTAAAACATCCCAGAGACAGTGAGCATCTCTTCTACTATTCCTGCAACAGCCCTTCAGGAGAAGGACACTGCATCCTTCCTCTTAGCATCCCATTTCAGTAGCTCACTAGTACTCTGTCTAATCTGACTTTGAACTCCTGCCTCAAGAGCACAAGGCTCTATCAATGCCTCTTATGTCCCAGTTTTGAGAATCATTGTTTCTGGAAGGGTCATAAGGAAAATCCCCGAAGGCCCTACCTATTCCAGTGCTTTGTCTGAAGCCAAGTGGGAGATACTGAAGGAAGAGAAGGCGCCTGCACCTCCTTTCTCAAAAGGTGGGACTTTTTTCTTTATATGGATATTTTCCTGGATTTTTCTTTCTAAATTTCCTTCCTGGTTGTTGTTGTTGTGGTTCAGTTGTTTCAGTTATGTCCAACTCTTTGTGACCCTATTTGGGGTCTTCTTGGCAAGGATACTGGAGGGGTTTGCCATTTCCTTCTCCAGCTTATTTTATAGAAGAGAAAATTGAAGCAAACAGGGTCAAATGACTTGCCTAGGGTCACACAGCTAGTAAGTGTCTGAGACTGGACTGGAACTCAGGTCTTCCCAACTCCAGGCCTGGCACTCTATCCACTGAGCTAGCTAGCTGCTCCAATAGCTTAAGCCCCATTCTTTCCAATTGTACATGCTCATCCTGCATTAAGTCCCTGCTCCTCCACCTTCTCTTCTAGACTTGAACAATCCCAGCAGTAAAAAAAGCAAAGAATTCAAGACCCAGGCTTGAATTATACACATACTAGCTGTGACCTTGAGCAACTTATTCAAACTCCCAGAGCCTCAGTTTTCTCTCCTGTAAAAGGGGGATCAGAGCACACTACCTACTTCACAGATTATTAGAGATGGGGGGAAGAAGTGCTCTTCAAGTCTTAAATGCTTCAGAGCAATTTAAGTATGCTATTCTTCATACTGTTATACCTCCATGGATCTGGGATCTCACTGGTGAATTACCTTACTCAGGTTCAGATTGCAGTCCATCCCCATTTTGCTTAAATCCTCCTCAGGAGAGCTATCCGGGGTGCTGGAGGTCTTTGGTCTGGGTCTTTATGCAGTCTGCGATTGTCCAGCATGATCTGTATCTCTTGTCACTTACCATTAACCATCCTACCCAGCCATGTATTATTATTATTTTAACCTTTCTGATGTCCATTGTTATATTAATTTTTTTAAATTCTCCAGACTTTGACACCATGCATCAACTACCTTCTTCCTCTGCCCCTTCATCCATTGATGAGCACCTCCTGGAACTTCTATTTCTCCAGACTTTTACACCATACCACCCTCCTCTTTTAGTTTCCCTTTTCTGAGTTGTCTTCTCTCATTAGAATGTAAGCTCCCTGAGGGCAAGGATTGCTTTTTTTTTTTTTGCTTGTATTTATATCCCCAGTACTTTAGCACAGTGCCTGGCATATAATAAATGCTTCATAAATACTAATTGACTTGACTCGACTCTACCTTTTAGGAATGTAAAGAGAACACAAGGAATCCTTCTAGTACATTGAGTGGATCCCTTGTGTAAAATTCATGGGAAGACATGGATGAGAGTCTTAAGGCAGGCAGGCATGGATGGACCGTGGTCTGCATTGTTAGAAGGAATATCTAGATTGATGATATTACATCTATTGGAATAAGAGTTCTTAACCTTTTGTTGTGTCCTAAACCTCTTTGGCAGTATATGGTAAAGCCTATGAGCCCCTTCTCAGAATAATGTTTTTAATAATGCATGAAATAAAACACACAGGATTACCAAAGAAACCAATTATGTTAAAATACAGTTATCAAGATATTAAAAAAAGTTCACAGACCCCAGTTCAAATAACTCCTATCATTAATATTTAGGCTCCTAGAACATGTAGATAATTGCAAGTTTGGCCTAAAGTCCTTGCAGACATCTAAGCTATTGAGCCAAGGAGGTAGGGGCCTTACAGACATGGCTTACTTACCAGTGGGCACACTCACAGCATTTTCAGGCAGGTCACTGGCATTATCAATCACAGAAATGGTGACTTCATAGGTGGCAACCAGTTCTCGATTCAAGGATGATTTCACCATCACAGAACCTGCCAAGTCAGATCAGCTCTACCATTAGTCTCATTGGGAGCTCCCCCAGAAATCCCTGCCTAAATAACAAACTCCTTCATTCTCCCATTTCTTCCTCCTAGCCCCTCCTCCCACTTCCATTCCCCAGAGAGCGAGGAAGGGAGAGACAATATAGATGCTAAGAAATCATTTCTTGTCCTATAGACTTCTCTGGCCTTGTCTGACTCAGAGTGCATGGTCCATCTGGAACCATTCAAGGTTCATCACAACATATAGACCTTTTGCTATTGGCCAGTGAAGCCTTGGACTAATCCCTCTGGGTCAGAACCTTCTCCTTGCCCAATATTAACAAGCAGGCAGAATCAGATTACAATATTGAAATGGATGTTGAGGGCAACCCTAAATGGGAAAAGTCCCAGGATGTGGGCAACCTAGTGGGTGTTTGTAGTAAGAGAGTGAGGCAATGTTCCCCTTTGTCTTGGGGTTTGTGTGTGTGTGTGTGTGTGTGTGTGTGTGTGTTTGGGTGTGTTTATGTGTGTGTTATGGGATATGCACACATATTTATATTTATATATGCCTCAAATCTTTTTTGTAATCACCTCTTCCCTTTCTATTGGCTGTCTCCCAGAGACACTGCCAAGTCAACAGATGAGCTCTTCACCCCTCAGATGTGAATGTTTGTTTTTCACAGTAGAGGTCATTTGGATTTCCCATGCCTAAGGGGAGGATCTGGAAGGGTCATTTTTCCCCCAGCTGCGAAGTGGTAACCTCTAATGTCCACCCCCAATCCTGATGTGAAACTTCTTGCTTTCCCCATTGGGTCTCTTCTAAATCTATTGCTTGAGATTCCTGAGGCCTATCCAGCAGGCCCCCAGTCCTCAAAAGTTCCCCAGACTAATGTGGGCTGTCACTTACCCTAGCAGTGGTCTCCTCCTCCTTTTCCTCCTCCTCTAATTCCCCCTTCCCAAGTCTGGGGAGTGGGGAAAGGGGAGAGGATGGCTGGATTCAGTCTGCAAAGGCCAATCTACCACCTTGGTTGATGATGGCCCCAGTGGGCAGCCCCACAGGATGGGGAAGATGAGGAGTGATGCAGTGGATATGAAGAGAGACAATGGTATGAAGCAGACAAGAGATGAGATGAGAAGTGATAAAGAAATAGAAAGCTCAAACCTGTGGGCCTGCCAGCCATGAGAGAGAGAGAGAAAAGGATTAAAACCAGTTAGTTCAAAGTATAGGAGAAATAACCAAAGGTGGGGGACATAGGGAGAGAGACCCCAGAGCAATTAGGGCAGAGTAGAAGAGAGAAGAGAGAGGCAAATGGCAAAAGGAAAGGGGAGGAGAAAAAACAGAAGGAAGATAAAGTGAGAGGATAGAAAAGGAGAGAGATAGAAAAGGAGATAAAGTGAGAGGATAGAAATAGGAGATGAAATCCAAACAAAGAGGTGAGATGGGACTTGGGAAAGAAGAGAGGGATTTGGTTGGGAGAAGAGATGGAAACAGGGAGATTATACTAAAGAAAGAGGGAAAGAAAGACATGAAGACAGAAAGAGAAGAAGAAGAGAATGGAGGAAGGAAAGGAGAGTTAGCAATCAATGGAGCTAGAAATGGGAAGAGAAGTTAGAGCGAAGGGGCAAAGGAAGAAGAGAAAGAAGGGAGTATTAATGTTAGTAGAGAAAATAACAACAATAATACTAGCTCTTGGGCAGGGGGCCTGGATTCTTGATTTCATGCATATAAGGAACTTCCAGCATGTAAACTCCCTCCACCAATGTAGATCAACAACTTGGCTATACCTTAAAGTCTTGGAGAGTTTACTGAGGGCAATAAGAGGTTAATTGACCTGCCCCAATCACAGACAATGTATCCAGAGGGAGATTACCATTTAAAGAGCATTTTCCATATAACGACTCTATAAGGTAGCAGTGAAAGTATTTTTAGCCCCATTTTATAGATGAGGAAATCGACATTCAAAGTTAACTGCCCATGGTAAGTGGTAGAGAAGGGATCGAAACTCAGGTCTTTTTACTCTGAGTCTGTGTTCTTTCCTTTATTACAAGAAGAGAGAATACACAAGGGAAGAGAGGGCAAGGGGGAAAAATAGAGAGCAAAGGGAGGAGAGGAGGAGTGGAGAAAAGGAGGAGAGAAGATCCAGCTCTGAGAATGAGGAGGAAAAAGGTGAGCAAGCTCTTATACCTGTGTTGATATTCACAGCAAAAGCCTCTTCCTGGTTGGGTACTAGGTGGTCAGTGTCATCCTTGGCTACTATGTCAATAATGAAGTATTCCAGCTCTGGACTCAGGTCATGGTCAATGGCGGTGACATTGGCAATGATGGTACCTGGATCAATTGACTCAAGCACACTCACAGTCTGGATGGGATTGAGGAATTCAGGCCGGGAGTCATTGATGTCATCGATAAGGATAGTGACGATGGCGGTGCCTGAAAGGGGAGCGGTGCCTCGGTCTGCTGCCACCACCACCAGCCTATAGGATTCTTGTTCCTCCCTATCAATGGTGATGTTGCCAACCCGGATGACCCCTGTGATGGGATGGATCACAAAGCGGTCTTGGGCCCCTGCCTGAATTCGGTAGACCAGCTCCCCATTGAGGCCACTGTCTTCATCTGTGGCTGTGACTTGAAGGACAGAAAAGCCTGTGGGTACAAAGAGGGGAAAACGGGGTCTCATGTTAACCTTTGGGTAGCAATTCATAGGCTTGGCATTTCATTTTATGTACTAGGTTTTGGCCCTTCCAGATCATTTAAAACTCTAGCCCCACCTTTTGCTGATTACCTCATCCTAGATTTTTTTTTTCTCCTTGAGGGCAGAGACTGTCTTTTGTCTTTCTTTGTATCCCCAGCAATTAGCACACTGCCTGGCACATAGTAGGTGCTTAATAAATATTTATTGACTGACTGATTATATTGCCCCTAGTAGACCAATGGATCTGGCCCATGAAGGCCAAACATTCATCTTCTACCTTACTAGTAGCCTGGGACACCTGGGACCTCGTGTGTCCCCAGGGATCTCTCTCACCTGCAGGGCAGTTCTCTAGTAGGTATACAGTTAGGATCGAAGGAGTGAATGTAGGCCGGTTGTCATTGTCATCCAGGATAGTGATGATAAGTTCAGCAGTGCCATTGAGAAGCCCAATATCTTCAGCCAGCAACAGCAGCTCCAGGATTGGCGGGAAGAAAGCTTCTCGGTCAATCACAACACCTTGCTTCACCACCACCACACCTATGGTGAGACAGGCAGTCATGGTAGCAAGCAGGACAGGAGGAGAGGGAGAGAGAGACAGACAGACAGACAGACAGACAGAGAGAGACAGAGAAGACAGAGAGACAGAGAGACAGAGAGAGACAGAGACATAGAGAGACAGAGAGACAGAGAGAGACAGACACAGAGAGAGACAGAGAGACAGAGAAAGACAGAGAGACAGAGAGAGACAGACACAGAGAGAGACAGAGAGACAGAGAGACAGAGAGACAGAGAGAGACAGACACAGAGAGAGACAGAGACACAGAGAAAGACAGAGAGACAGAGAGAGAAGAGAGAGACAGAGACACAGAGAGACAGAGAGACAGAGAGAGACAGAGAGAGAGAGAGAGAGAGAGAATAAGGTATAGAAATGGAATGTAGGGTTAGGTGGAAGTATAGGAGAGTGAGCAAGGGTAGAAATAGAGAAAAATGGGGAAAAACAAGGAAAGAAGATGGGGAAAACAGGCAGAGAAAAGCAGGAGAAAATAGACATGAAAGGATAAAAATAAATAGAAAAAAAGATAACAATTAGAGAGATAGCTAGTATTTATATAGCACTTTAAGGTTCACAAAGATCTTTATAAATATTCTCATTTTATCCTTACAACAATTCTGGGAAGTAGGTGCTACTATTATCTCCATTTTACGGTTGAGAAAAACTGAGGAAGACAGAAGCTGTACTGCTTAGGCTTCACAGACAGTGTCTGAGTCTGGATTTGAACTTAGGTCTTACTGAGTATAGGTCCAGTGCTCTATCCACTGTACTACCTAGGTGCCTCAGAAAGGAAGGAAGAAGAGAGAAAGGAAAAATCATTTCCCTCCTAAAATTGGTATTTCTCTTTCCATCCTTCCAATTGCTGATCTTTTCTTAAGGCCCCTTCTGAAATCTTTAAGAGTCGCCTTGCTGTATAGAGCTGATAGAATACCAGGTTGGAGCTGCTCTTTGAGAGACGGACTCAAATGTTTTGTTTTCAGTCTTCTACATTGGATAAAAGTTGTGATAAAAGCCTCTCTTCTAAAGGCTGGTAATCTTGAGAGAGGAGAGCTCTCAGCTCTGGCATTATCTGCCTAAGCTTCTGGTGACCCAAAAGTTTTCTCTGTATCTCTGCTGTCTCTCTGACCATCAGAATGTTCTTCTGAGTGGATAGTAAAGGCCAAGGGGGTGAATATGGGCCAGTAACTGGGGGAGTTTTTGAAATTCCTCAGACTTTATGCTGCAAACTTAGACTTCTTCCCTCCCAAACACAGAGATTTCACAGTCAACTGCCAAATAGAAATAGTGAGGGGCTGCTTAACACCTCCATCCTTCAAGCTTTAGGGCCTTGACACAGTGTGTGCTTATGGGTTTAGTATTAGGGTGTGTGTAGGGGCAGACAGCAAGGGTGTCCCTCGTAAGCCCCTTGGTTTTGGGGACCCCATGGGCAGAAGTACTAAGAGAAGGAGAGCTGAAGACCTAGAGGCAAAAGAAAGGTAAAGAAAGTTCATGGAAAGCTACTTCCCCTTTATAATCAGATAGCAAGATAAGGAGCCTATACTAGGGAGAGATGGAGGCTGTGTATGAAAAGCCCAAGGGCTCCAGAATTGCAGTATAACTGGTATCACTTTCACTTACTGAATATATTCTATCTAAGAGAACAATAACAACAAGAAAGTCAGCAGAAGAGGGAAACTCACTGGTGACCTGTTGATTGAACTGCACCCTTTGAAATGAGCACTTTGGCAAAATTTCTCTATCTTTGGTAGGCATTTCATTTGCTCCTAACCACAGATACAAGCACGGAAGTTCACCTACCAGTGAATGTGTAGGAAAGTCACTTCTTGCTCAGCTGTTGTGAGTTTGGGAGTCTCTTTGGGTAGCTGTGCTGCTAGATTTAGCCTTGAGGTTATTGTTCGATACAGTCTTTACTCACAGTAGTGTGGAGGAATAATAATTACAATAAAGGCTAGCTTTTATGTATTGGTTTACAAACGTTATTGTATCTTATCTTCACAACAACTCTATGAGATAGGTGTTATTATTATCCCCATTTTACAGATGAGGAAATAGGGAAAGAGAGGTTAACTGTCTTGATTTGAACTCAGATCTTTCTCAGTCTTGTTCAATATTTGTAAAGTGCTTAGCACAGTGGCACATAATGGGCACTATAGAAATGCTAGTTGTTATTATTAGAATGCCTCAAAATCATTATCTTGCCTCAGAATGGCAAGAGGACATTATCCAGAGTCTCAGGAGACCTGGGTTCCACTCCTGCTTCAGACACTTACTATCTGTGTAACCTTGGACAAATCATTTAACTTCTCAGAGATTCATCTTCCTTGTCTGTAAAATGGGAGAATTACACCATCTCTTTCATAGACTTGTTGGGAGTGTTTTCATTATGGTTTCCTCTCTGAGAGGCCCCATAACTGTGTGCTCATCTCTCGGTAAGGGGAAGAACTCTAGGGGCCAGCTGGAGCTTCTCAGACCACAAAAGACATGAGTTGGTGATGAAATCTGATTGTCAGCTTGACATGTGGACAGAGTCTCTGAAGTTTCCCCAGCCAAGTTGTTGAGAATCCAGCCATGGGGGAATAAACATCTCCCCCAGCAAGGGACTTTATGAGGAACTGAGGGGCTTAAGAAATGGAGGGTTGGAGGCCTCACCAGTGGTGTTGTCAATGTCAAAGAGGTCACTCTGGGTCCCTAGGAGTCTGTAGGTCACCACTGCATTAATGCCAAGGTCATCATCCAGGGCCAGGATGGGCCCATTCAGCACTGTGATGGGAGTGCCTGTGAGAGACGTACAAATGCAGACATCACCTCTGGGAAGACGATGAGCCCCCACTGCCCCCTCCCTCCTCCCACTTCCCCAAGTGACCCATGGCTGACAATGAACGAGTGATGTGGATGGGGTGAGGGCCCCCATGGGGTCAGGGGCTGAGACAAGTGATGGAGCGGCGGCTGCGGTAGCCTTGGCAGACTGAACTCAGGTGGGGAGCAGCCTCAAAGCCCTGCTGGGGGAGAAAACAAAACATAGCTGTGAGCAAGCCCATTCGGGGCCAGGGCTGAGCCCAGGGCCTGAGGCCTGCCTTCCCAGCAGCCTTTGAAGCAGAGTCACCCTGGAGAGTCTCTGGGCAGTTTCCTGACTTCCCTCTGACATGCAAACTTCTGTACGTGGCTAGGTGTGGGTACTCATGTCCATTTGTGAGCACATAGAGCTGTGAATTTGAGCACATGCATGGCATCCCATGTTCATTCATACATGTGTTTGTGCCAGTGTACCTGTATGTGCATATATCTATACATATTTACATTTTATATTTGTGCATATATCTATACATATTTACAAGTGCATGGGTACACATGCAAGTGTGGGCTATGCTTATCACCTGAGTATATAAGTATACGTAAACACACACATGGCTATCTCTTATATGTATTCACCCAGGTTCACACGTTTGTGGGCACGTATCTGTAAGTGCGTGAGAATATGATCTCTGGGGAATGCCTAAGAAAGGGCTGTCCTTTGGGACATTAAGTCCCTTCCCCAGATTCACTCCTGTTTTGCTAGGACTATGGAAATAGGTGCACCAGGAGGTTTATTTGCACCATTCAATGCCTCAGTGACCAGGGGGTGTATGATTGGGCAACGACTGCCCCCTGGTGGCTCACCTTGTCCACTCATAGTCACATGGGTCTACCCTGACTTTGAGTTCCCCAAATCCCTGGTCTTATGATGACTCTGCTACCCAAACAGCCTAGTCAATTTTGGTGGCTCTAATACAGAAGTAGATGCTTGGCCTTGTCCTTATTACCTGTAGTGGGGAGATATCTGCCACCTGATATCTTCAGACTCTGGGAGGAAATTCGTTGGTAAGGGTAGGGAGAGGACAGAGGCCCGTATGCTGGCATTAAAGGAGGGAGGGCATACTCTTTAAAGCCTCTTGTCACTGAGGTGGAGGGACAGAATGGAGGCTGGCAGAGAGGACAGTGGGAGGGTTAATCTTGCCTAGAAAACTCTTTGTGACTGATCTAAGACCACCTCCTCTGCTTCCCAGGAGAGGAACCTCTGCCCAATTCACATCCTTCGTCAAATCCAGCTTCCCAGGGCCAGCACTTGGGTTCTTTCCCTGAAGGAGGTGGACTTAGAATGTTCCAAGCCATAGCCAACTCTTCCTTCCATAAGCCACTAGAGGGCTCCCTTTGGCATTTCCTCATCAACTGCCCCATCTGCCATTTCACCATTTTCCAAGTTAGTGTGTCTTTTCTCCCCAGTGAGATTGTGCAGTTCTTAAAAGTAGGGCTCATGTCATGGATTTCTCTGGAGTTTTGCACCACTCACTCCCAACACCCAATGGGAGATCCCCAAGCCCTCAAGTCCTGCCAGGTTAGGAAGAGTGGCTTCCTTTCCACTGTCATCATGTGGCTAACACCTTAAAGCAGTGACAAGCTTCATGGAGGCCGTGGTGACACTAGAAATGTAGCTGGTAACTTTTGCTACATTGACAAGGGTCTCTGTCTCCTTTACATAGAAAACTTCCACAGTTCAATTTAATCCAACAAGACAATCCTTAAGGAACTACTATGTGCCAGGCATTGGACCAGGAGCAACGCCTGCCCAAATGACCAGTCCTCATCCTCACAAAGCTCATAAGCAAGCCCAGGCCCAGATCAGGGGCTCAGTAAATAACTCACTGAACTGACATTCTCTTTCCCTCTTTTTGTCTCCCCAACCTCCCATCACTGTAGGTCCTGGCACCCTGCCTAGGGGTTTCCCAGGGGTTGGGTCTCTTTTGCACATACCCGCAGGAGAATTCTCCATCACCTCTGCCTGGTAGGTGCTCTGGGTGAAGAGTGGGTGGTTGTCATTTTCATCTTCAAGGGAGACCACCAGTAGGTCAAAATCCTGGGGGGGGGGAAGAAGAGGATGGTGGTGGGAGAGGGCAGGGGAAGGGGCCAACACTCTCAAAGTGGGATACTATAGGCAGAGGGCTACAAAATGTGAGCATGGGACACCAGATGGATGACCCTGAAACAAGAAAAGGGAGGGTGTAGTGACTTTTAGAAAACAATAGCATTTTGCCTTTGCCATTTCCTCTTTTTCAGTGATTTCTCATTTGGTCCTAAGCCCCAGTGAAATAGGTATAATGGGTAATTATCACCATTATTTCAGAACATGGAAAAACTAGGGCTCAGAAATCATGAGTAATTTTGTTATTGGGATGGCTTGCCAGGGCCCTGAGATCCATCTTGTTTAGTCTGCTTTTCTCCTTATGTGTCACATCCAGGACAACTCCCATCTGTTTATTTCTTTTCTTTTTTTTTTTTTTTGCCCTTAGAGTTTTACTGATGTCTTTTGCATTTACATTAGTCATTTCTGGAAATTCCTCCCCACCCTCTTACCAAAACTGAACCTTCCCTTTAACTAAGAAAAACAGTTAAGCAAAAAACATCCAACACTCTGACTCTGATGGAAAGGGTATCTGCATATCATTCTGCCTGCCTCTCTGCTGAGAGGAGAGGGGCATGTTCTCTTATCTGTTCACTTGGTGTTTTAATTCCTCAGAATCCATCTTTATTTTGGTGATATTTTCATTTACATTTTTTGGGGTTGTCATGGATCTTGTTTCCGCTTTCTACTCACTCATATGCTCTGTCCCTTGACCAAAGTCCTCCTCTGATGCCTTGTGGGGAGGTGACCTTGGGTTCTCCAAGGCTATGGGAGTGGGGTGCAAGGTCTGGTATATTCTTTCAAGCTAGGAAGGCTTTGAGTATGGAGTTAATGAGGGACTGAATGCCTGTGATCTGAGGACCAGTCTAGCTATGGTTGGGAGAAGCCAAGTTGGCCACAGGCCGATGAATTCTTTGGTCACAGTAACTTCCAAACACCATGTACTAGGGCCCAGAGAGGTGGGGATCTGTATTGGTTGAGGGATAATTCATATCAATCCATTAGACTGTAAGCTCCTTGAGGGTAAGGACTATCTTTTGCCTCTTTTTGTATCCTCAGCACTTACCATGGTCCCTAGCACATAGTAGGCATTTAATAAATAAATATTTATTAATTTGTTGACCAATGAAATCATGGATCCTTGAAGAACTGATGAAAAAGAGGCATCAAGACACCTGTGGACACTGATGGTGTCCTCACAAGTACAATCACCTGCACATTCATCCAAGGGACTAAAGTGGCGTTTTCTGTTTCCTAGAGCACAAAGGCAGCTTGTGCCTACCCTAGTGCCTACATCAAGCCTATAGAGTTCCAAAGACTCACCAAAACAGTTACAAGTGACTTTATAATTGTACAAAGTAAGACTTGGGCATCATGCACCAATGGCAAGTGAATGTATTTGCATACTGTAAATACATATTGAATAGAGTTGAAGCCAAGAGTAGGTGAGTGGGGGAGTAGAGTAGGAAATTCTAGATGGTGAGGGGACTGGAGAAGGATGAAGAAGGGTGGAAGATAAGACTGGGGGAGGGGTTGGCACGAGAGCTCTCTTCAGGCATAGCTTGGCCCCAAAGGGCAGAAGCAGACTTTGACCTGATGTAAGAAAATTCCTAAATCTATCTTTCTTACAATGAGAGCAATTTCCAAGTGGAATGGTGTACTTTGGGAGGGCGTGGGTGTCTCCTCACCAGAGGTCTTTAAGCAGTATCTGGATGATGACTCTCATGTATGTTGTAGAGGTCTGTCTTATTCGGGCATGGGTGGGACCAAACAGCTGCTGAATTTCCATCTAACTGAGAGCCTGTGCTTTTGAAATAAGATTGGGAGCCAGGTTTTCTCATTCCTACACCACATTCCCAACTCCTCCACCATGGGAATTTTTAAGATATGTGCAAGAAAAGAAGGAAGAACAAATGGAAAGAGGAAAAAGAAAAGGCAGAGATCAAAGAAAGGCAGAGGGGGCAGAACAACACAAAGAAGAAGAGGGAGATATTGAGAGCCTCAACATTTTTTAAAGCTTAAAGGGCTCAGAGATAATCTAGTTTTAGGATAATGTCATACAGAGCTGGAGGGGACCCAAGATCTCCTCTAGTCTAGCCCTCTCATTTTACAGATCAGCAAATAGACTCAGAGAAGGAGTGACCTCTGCTCTTTCCACTATACCACACAGGGAAGAGGAGAGAAAGAGACTTCCTAAAGCAGTCTCCTTGACATAAACTGTTCCTCCTTGCTTTGATAATGGCAAAGGGAAGAACAAGTCAATCTAACTGGCATTTGAGGATCCTTTCAGGACTGTGGAGAGCACCTGTGTACACGGGAGGTAGGCACTGGCATGGTCATACCCAAGGAGAAGGAGGAGTCTTCACACCTTCCTGTCTCACCTTTTGTCCTCTGCCCCATCCCCACCCTGCCCCTACTGCTGACACTCACTCACCCTTCTGGCAATGCGTGGGTTTTCCGGGTTGTCCTTCACAGAAATAGTCAATTTATACTCAGGAATCCTTTCTCGGTCCAGGGGCCGGTTCACAGTGATTATCCCTGTCTGAGAAGGGAAGATGTGAAATGAATATGTGTTTGAGGGTCTAGTGGGGGAGGAGGCCCCTCCCCACCTGAAAAATCCCCTCTCTTCTGAGGCCTTCCATCCCTTTGGCCCTGGGGATGGATGAGTTGCAGCCACTGTAGCAGGCTCAGATTATGTTTCATGGAAGAGGTTCATGACCTCTGGGGGGCAGTGTTTCCCAGCCTTGGTTCATGTATGGCGATAAAATTCTCCAAAGAAATTGGATTTTAATTTTTTATCATTTAACAAACCACCACAACAAAACATGCCATGTAATGCTCCCCTCCATCCCTCCCTGAGGTGAGGGCTAAATCTCCATAATAGAACAAGTAGCATTAGGGTCTGACTGAGACGGACCATTGATGTAGACAGATATACTAATAACAGATCAAGTTAGTGGTGCCCATGGAGCAAATCCCAGCACCAAGTGGGTCATAACCAAGTGGGGATCAGCCTTGATAGTGAGGCTAAGGGTTAGGTTGAGCAGGAGGGTAGAGGCAGGAATGGGAATGGGAAAATGATGGTAACATTCAAACCAAAGTCCCCAAAACCACATTTCCACTTAACGGCATACATGTTTTTTTTCTTTATGGGTCTCAGAGTGGCCAAGGAAAAGTAGGCAAAGGCAAGGAGTATGGTTTCTGTCTTTTTGATATGGTTAAGCATGATCTTGGAGGAGGTTCAGTGAGCTCCCAAGAACAGCATGCATCTCTGCTGGTGTGAGTGCTGGTGGTTGGCTTGGGGCAGAAGGGTGTGTGTGTGTGTGTGTGTGTACTGTAGGAACCACTGCCCAAAGAGCGTCAAGAGGAGGAAAGGAGTCCCACCGTGGCATTGATGAAGAAGGCATTGTTTCTGTTGCCAGCAGTAATATTGAAGGTGAGGAGGGCGTTAGGGCCGCTATCAGCATCGCTGGCCAGGATGTGGGCCACGAAGCTGGTCACAGGGCTGTTCTCACTGAGGGTGATGTTCATGGGCAGATTCAGCAACACTGGATCATTGTCGTTGATGTCCAACACACGGATTCCCACCAAAATCTGGGGCAAGGGATGGAGAAGAGGTAACAGTATGAGTCCAGGACAAATAGAGAGCAAGAAGAAGCAGAGAGACTAAGAGAAGGAGGAATTCATTTCACTGAAATAAGCATTTGCAAAGTATTTGTTATGTGCTAGGCACTGGCCAAACAAAGACAAAAACAGAAGAGTCCATGCCCTCAAGGAACTTATAGTCTATTGGGAAAAGTAAAGAAGGAAGAGGAAGAGGGTGAAGGGAAAGAAGAGAAGGACAAAAAAAAAAGAGGAGGAAGATGGTAAAGAAGAAGAGGAAAGAGGGGGAAAGGGGAAGGAAGAGAAGAAAGAGGATCTGAGGATGGAAATAAATCTAGCAGAAGTTCCCAGACGAGAAGGTCCAGAACTCACCACAGATAATGCTAGTTAGACCACTTAGGGCATGAGGGACAGCATTCCCATTGCTGTGCTGTACTGTGTAAATTATGTAATAGTAATACTGTAATAATAATAACAAAAATAATACTTTCAGGCTTGTAAAATGCCTTATAAATATAATCTTATATATATTTGTTTAAATTTTAAATTCAAATTAATTAAATATATATACACTCACTCTGGGAGGTAGGTGTTATTATTACCCCCATTTTACAGATAAAGCAACTGAGGCAGGAAGTGACTTGTCCAGGGTCACACAGCTAGTAAGTGTCTGGAGGCTGGGTTTGAACTCAGGTTTTTCTGATCCCAGGCCCAATGTTCTACCCACTGTGCCACCTAGCTTGCACGAGCAAAGTCCTTATGGTTATTGGGCAAGTCTATGGTAGGGTTTAGGGTTCTGGCTCCTAGAATGTCTATAGACAGCTACCTCCCAGCCATGAGCATAGGGCAAAGTGAAGCCTAGAGAAGTCCAAACATCAGAGAAGCTTGGGATAACTTTGGGGGCCCAATGAGATTAAATCTTGAGAAGATGGCAGCACCATGAAGACTTTCTATGATCCTTTTGAAATTTTGGGTAGAAGGAAGTTGCCCAACCAGGGTCAGAGGTGAGGAGGAGGAGAAGGAAAGGGCAGCTGTGGGCAAGAGATCCACCTGTCATTCGCTGTACACAGACTCACCGTGGAACTGAGTGGGGGAATCCCCCTGTCCCGAGCACAGATGGTGAGGTTGTAGAAAGCAATGTTTTCCCGGTCGAGCTCAACATCCTTCCGGACCCGAAGCTCTCCCTCCACAGGAGAGATCAGAAACTCACCTGGAGGCCAAGGCAGTAACCAGATTCAGGAAGAAGCAGTTTCAGGGAGTCCCATTTGAGCTGAACAGAGCCCAGCCCTCTCCCCTCCCACCTTTCCCCTTCCTCAATGAAAAGCTTGGTTTTGGACAAGAGATGAGAAGATGTACCACCTCTCCCTTCTTCACAGAGGTGGGAGACTGTGGGTCTGGAATAGGGTAAACACTGTCAGTCTCAGTTGACGTGTTGGTTAGTTTTTGCCGTATTGCTTCTCACTCCCCCTTCTTTCTTTTTCTTTTAAAAAAATTCTTTAATATATGAGACCACTTGTTGATCTGGGGAACGATATATTTAGCAATAAAGGTAATATAAAACAAAAAAATATCAATACAGATTTTCTGAAAGAAAAACAAAATCTTATTGGACTAAAAGCCAAGCTAGGGTCAGGGGCTTGTGCCTCTGTTTTTCCTTCCTGAGATGTATTTTAGATTTGAAGAGGGATATGCCAAGGTCTAGGGTAGGGAACAAATGTCTTGAAGTGTCAAGGGTTTGAGGAAAGGGGGAGGAATGTAAGAAGAGAATTATGGAGAGAAGGGATTGCAGGAGATCCAAGTTCTGTTTCCTGTCCAATCCCTGATGTGCTTCTGATATCAGACAAATCACCTTCTCTTTTGGGGTCTTGGCTTTGGGGAGAATGATCCTTTCCTTCAGCCTTCAATGCCCAACCCTTCCCCATTAATGCCTCCAGCCCCCAGGTGTCGATTAGCAGGCTGGGGCTTGCTCTTGGCCAAACTGTGAAGCTTGCAAAATGGGTTCCCTTTGTTCCTGCCCTTCCTCTCTTCTTCCCTCCAGGTATCTGGTTGTCTCGGCCTTATCCTCTGCAGTCATACTGTGGTCACCCATGGTGTGTGCTCTAGGTCGGATCAGGGGCCTCCGCTCTGCCCTTGTGGAGACTCCAGACCACCTGCCATTTAGATACTCTGTGCCGTATGGGCATCGCAACACAGAGGGGAGCACCAGAACCGAGAGCATCCCTTGGGTACCCCAGCCCCACACACTTGCTCACATCAAGTTCCTCTGCCCACTCAGCTAGTTACTCTTCCCTTTGTTTCTGGAATTCCTCACCAACCTCCTTCTCTCTCTCCTATGCACAGGCCTACTCATCCTACACCCCACCTCCATTTTCTCTATACTCCCTTTCTTGCTTTTCTCCCCTCCCCTCCCCTCTTACCTCTTGTCCTCTCCTCCCCTCTCCTCCTCTCTCCTCCTATCCCTCTCCTTCTCCATCCCTTGCCTCCTTCTCTCCGTCCCTTCCTCTCTGGTCCCCTCTCCTTACTTCTCTCTTCCTCTCCTCCCCTCCCCTCTCCTCCCATCCCCCATCCTCCCTTCCCCTTCTCTCCCACCCCTGCCTCCTTCTCTCCCTCTCCTCCTCTCCTCTCTCTTCCCCTCCACTCTCTTCTCTTCTCCTCTTCCTTACCTCTCCCCTTCTCTCCCATCCCTTGACTCCTCCCCCCTCCTCCCCCTCCCCTTCTCTCCTATCCCCTATCCCCTTCTCTCCTTCTCTCCTCTCTCCTCCCTCTCCCATTCTCTACTCACTCATTCCCTTAGGAACACACTGCTTTCTGACCCCCTTCCTCTTCTCCTTTCCACATACCAGGGAGCTAGTTTCTCCCACTTCGTCTCTAACATCAGCAATGAGGATATTCCTCAATGCCTTTAAATAGATCCTTGAAATCCAGGGTAACTCCATCCCAGCACAACCTCCTGGACACAGCAGTTTTACCTTTCATTCCAGGGCACCTCCAGGTTTGAAAACTGGTGTGCTCACACTGCCCCAAGAAAAGCATTTGGTAAGCTCATTAGCATGAAAGACTTAAGGTGTAACGGGTCACTTAGACTAGGTAATATGTTTATTTTTTAGCAACAAGCTGACAATTCTCGATGCAAGAGACTGCTCGGTTAATTATGGAATTTTAGGTTTGGTGGCATAGCAGCATGAGATGTATTTGGGGGAGTCTGGACCACCCCCCTGCCCCTCATCACCCAGCATGGGTGACCACTTAGTACACCTTTGCATGAGGCCAGCCCTGTAACAGGCTTTGGCTGAGCATAGCTGGAAGGCCAACTCCCTGCCCCAATCTCTCCTCCTCATCCTTTATCCCACAATCCCTTTCCCCTTATATACTCACAGGCACCTGTTGGCTCTTTTGTATCGGCCAAAGGTCATATGATCATGTAATCCGATTTGGAGCTGGAAGGGACCTTAGAGGCACAATTTCCTCATTTTATAGTTAAGGAAGCTGAGGTCTTGAGGTGAAGGGACTTACCCAGGTTCACATAATGTCAGAAGCTGCATTTGAACCCAGGTCCTCTGACTTCCAAATGCAGCACACTTTTCCGCAGGTCTGAGGTTACGCATTTACGCTTGGACTAAAACCCACAGAATCACAGAAACCTGGAGTTGTAGGGGCCCTTAAAAACATGAATCTAGCCTAGCCCCCTCATTTTATAGATAATGACAATAGCTAGCATCTCTATGGTCTGCAAAGTACTTTATAAATATTACCTCATCAGAGCCATACAATAACCCCAGGAGGTAGGTGCTATTATTACCCCCATTCTACAGAGGAGGAAACTGAGGCAGAGGTTCATTGACTTGGCCGGTGTCACACAGCTACTAAATCTCTGAGGCAGGATTTGAACTCAGGTTTTCCTGACTCAGGGGCTCACCGCCTAGATGAGGCAGCTGAGGCCAGGAACGGTGAAACAACTGACCAGCAGCACAGTGAGTGACCCTATGGGGAGGGCAGGGTCTACACCTGCATCTCTTACTCATCCTAAGCTAGGGTTCATTCTGTTCAGACCCATTGAGGTTTGTACCAAATTCTGACTTTTCCACATGTCAACCACCAGTGGCAGGAGGCCATAACACAGCTGGCAAGGTCCATGCCCTTTTGTTTTCGGTTTTTAGAAACTACCCTGCCTTGCTGGATTGACCACCCTGGGGATTTTTACCCTTTTCAGACAAACTGGTGCTAACACAGGAGGATAAGAGTTTACTTTTTATTTTCCTCTGTTTGATAGCTGGGAGAAACTGAGGCCCAGAGAGGGAAAGCAAATAGCCAGAAGTCACACAGCAATCTTAGGCTCAAGGCTGAGAACTGAGTCCAGGCTTCCCCCACGATCTCTCCTGCTTGTCTTGCCTCCCTTAATCATCTTCCACCCTTTCCCAGCCTGGCCCTGGGCTCCTCCTGCTCTGATTTTATAATGACATAAAGAGATAGGCAAACCTTCGGCCAAGGTTTCCCAACAATCCCTCCTATGTCCGTGTCCCTTACATTCTTCCCACCCGGCCTCCAGCCAGGCAAGACTTCGGCCCCTTCCGCCCGATAGCAAAAGGCTGCCAAGTTTCCCTGTGGGGCGGACGGATATTGTTTGGAGCAGGATTTCCTGAGCCTGATGTTCTGGGGATTCCCACCTCCTCCACATCCCTCCCCTTGCTCCCCACTCCCCTACTGTCAGTGGGGGTGGGGTGGGGAGGAGCAGGGGCTCCTCTCCCCACTGGTTGTTGGATCTCAATCTCTAGGCAGGGCGCTTTTGTTCTGGCGTGTGGGAGGGAAGCCAGCCCCGCCCTGTTAGTCCCTAGTAGGGACGGGCAGATTGATGCTGGAATCTCAGGGTGGGGGTCGTGCTAGGGACGGGTGGTCTCAGCCAGGCCCACTACGGGGTGGGCACTGAGCCGGGAGGGAGCAGTCAGCCAAAAGGCCCGCTAGCCACCGAGTCGTTCTGGAGAGCCTTCAGCCCTTAACGACCTTCTGGAGACAGAGACATTTTGGGTGGCTAATGTCCTGCAAACCACCAGTTCATTTGAGTCATACCCAGATCAAATATCACCTATTATACAATCCAAATGAACACTTGGATGTGATTGATTAGAAATGACATCAGCGCTCAAGTATTTCCAATGATCTGATAATGATATTGGCTTACATTTGCTTAGTGTTTGATACGGTTTATGAACCTTACCCTGGGGCCCCCATGGGCCCACAGATAGATTTCAGGGAGTTGTGAACTTATTGTTACAATAACAAGCTATTATATTAATAATTCCATTAATATATTATAATTATTAATACATTTTAATAGTCTGATAACTGCATTTTAGTAGAATTAGTTTCCTTTTCATTTCTCTGCATTTTGTCATACACATTTAAGAGCATGATTCTAAGAAAAGCTCTGATAGGGGTCCAGGCAGTGGTGTGTTGGTAAATATTTAACAACTGGCTCCTCTGGAAAAAATTGTATGTACTACACACCTATAAATATAATCTGCATCATTAACATTTTCTCCACCGCTTTCTCTAGTCTACACAATCAACAACACAATAAATCAAGTTCTGATTTGCAGTGTTGGCCAATTTCAAAAGGTATAAATGTTCACACTGAAAATTTAACAATTGGCTTTGTAAAGCAAGTACAAGATGGCTCTAGCATGGCCTTAGGTCCAGGACACAAAAACAGCTAAGAATCCCTGGACTACAGAGACAATATAGTACAAGAGAAAGCATACTTGAAATCAGAAAGACCTAGATTCGAATCCTGCCTCTGATACTGAGGTGTGATCATAGGCAAGTCATTTTACCTGAGCCTCAGTTTTCCCGGCAGGAAAGCCTACCTCACAGAGCTATTCTGAGGTTCAAAGGAGATTTTGTACATAGAGTAAAATGCTTCACAAACTTGAAAGCAATAGATAGGTGCCAGTTATGACTAGTTGCCCAGCTGACTTCTTGATGCTAGCTGTGTGACCTTGATGGGCATTTAAGCTCTCTATGCCTCAGTTTCCTCACTTCCTTCCACACAAATGGAGATAATGACACAGGTGCTATCAACTTCACAGTGAGGAAAGCACCATGCAAAACTTCACCAGGTTAATCTTAAGTCACGTAAAGATAGGTGCTATTAATGGTGCTAGTATGTTTTTCTGGGTTATAATCGATTATATCATAAGCATTTTCTGTTCTGTAGTCTCCTCTGGGGGGGGATGGCATGAGTACTATTGAGGAAACTCATTTTCACCTCAAAAATTTGTAAAACAAATTAATCCATGAGGCTCCCCTAAAATGCCAATTCCTTCTTGTGGCTTTTCCTGACTTCCCCATGCCTACAACCCCTAGCTAGGAGTGATCCTTGCCTCCTGTGAATTCTGACAGCTCTCTGTATCTTTCTCAGGTCTGATCATATGTGGTTTTATATTTGACTGTATTCCTTGTCACCTCAGGTAGATGTTAAGCTCCCTTAGGGCAGGGATTATCTTATTTATACTGCACAGGGCCTAGTTTGTGGGAGGCATTCAGCAAACTATGGCCAATTGAATTGCTGCCCCGCTATCCCTTTGGCAAAGAGCAGGCCCCGAGGGAGCTTGGATGGGAGGTAAGGAAAGGTCTGGAGCTGACCCAGCCCAGGTGAGATGCTGCTATCTGATGACCATCAATTTTAGGGTTTAGAGCAAAAAGGGACTTAGAGATCTAGCTCTCTGACCTTAGAAAGTCACTTAATCTCAGTTTCTTCATCTGGAAAATGGGGATAACACTGGTACTACCTACCTCACAGGGTTATTGTGGGAGAAAGTGTTGCATAAATCTTAAAGACAGATATGTGAGGTATTGCTATTGTTACTCTTTGCATGAAGGTGTGGTCCTATGTGTTTGTGTGTGGAGCTTTTTGTGAAAATGTGTTATGTGCTCATAGGCAAACAGGCAGAATAGTTTGCTCTTGAGAACGTCATGGAAAGGGGCAATCTGGGTTATGTCTACTGGCTCGGGGACATCCACCTCCATGGGATGGAGGAAGGTTGGAAGTAGCTTCTTTTAGGGCCCATCCTGGCCCTGGAGCATCACTCACCCAGAGGATCCCCAGCCACGATGCTGTATTCCACTTGTCCATTGGGGCCTGAGTCCAAATCCTGAGCCAGGAAGGTCCACACCCTGGGCCCAGGCTGGCCTTCTGTGACATCAAAAGGCCCTTCGTAGTCCCGGGGAAAGATGGGTACGTTGTCATTAATATCATTGACATTCACCAGCACCTGTAAGGAGAATGGCAGCTTAGTCAAGGTTCACTGAGCCTGTGAAACATCTCCAGGTAGTGTCAGGAATCCTGAGATTCTTACTACATAGAAGGCAAAAAGGGCTGCAAGTACCTTGAGGGGCTCTGGAAGCTCCTGGGGTCAGAAGACAAGTCTAATCCCTTCATGACATCTTTTCAAAAGGCTTTCACCTCCTTGAAGACAATTCTCACATACTCTTGAGCCTTTTCTTCCAGAGGAAACATCCCCAATTCTTTCAACTGATTCTCCTATGGCATGGATTCAGGGCCCTTTGCCATTCTGATTGACCTCTCCATCTTGTGAAAGTCCTTTCAAAACTGTGGTGCCCAGAACTGAATGTGATGCTCTAGAAGTGGTCTAAATAGGGCTTTGGGACCACTCGTTCCTTCTTCCTTGTAGTTACATTTACCAGAACATGGCCCAAGATGGCATGAGCCTTTTGGGTGCCATATTGGCTCATCAAGTTTCCAGTCCCCTAAATTAGCTTCTGGCTCCTTTTCAGGAGCTGCTAAGACCCTGCTGTCTAAGCATCCCTTCTGGACCTTGAGGTTGATTTCTTAAACTTGTGTAAGACTTTACATTTATCCTTATTACATTTCATCTGATTCTATTCAACTCAATTTTCTGACCTTTTGAAATCTTTTCGGATACTGACTCTATCATCCCGGCTTTGTCAAAAGCATTGGTACCCAAAGAAAGTCACTTCACTTCTCTAAAGCTTAGTTCCCTCACCTAGAAAAGGGAATGATCATTACAGCCTGTCTACCTCAAAGGGTGGTTGTGAGGATCACACGAAATGCTTTTATAGGCATTCTGAAAACTGTAAAACACTATTAGGTGATACTAATTTTATTATTATTCCATTCTGAGTATTCTAACTTCTGTGATCTTTGCAACATCCCTGCAAGGACAGTGAGGTAGATAGAATTATTTCCACTTGATAGGTGAGCAAAATGAGTCCTAAAGAGGTTCAGTGACATCCCCAAGGTCATACAGAGATAAGACTAGACATTAGGTCAACTAGCCATGTGCTGTTTCAATAAGAGTTCGATACTCTTCACCCTTTCCCCCTCCCAGCGGGGTTGTTGGTGACCCTTTTCAAGGAAGAGGGATTATCACATACCGTAGTAGTGGAAGTGAGGCGTCGAGATAGGATAGGGCACTGGTCAGTGGCAGTGACAATTAGAGTGTATAGGCCATGGCTGATCTCGTAATCCAGCTCCTTTAGAGTGGTGATGACTCCCTGGGGAGAGACATACAGGGTGTGACAACCAGAGGGAAAGAAAAGCTTGGAGCACAGGGCCCTCTGAACAACAGAGAACTTGGGAAAGAAGTTCAGCTCTCCCTTGCAGTGGGATGACCCTGTTAATGTTGGCTTGGCCCAGCTAAAGGAGAGACTTGGGGCACGGGTAGACTCCAAGGACTCAGAGTATTGGTGCCCGTTCCTCAGTCTGGGGAGAGATCAATAGGATAGATTTTGTCTCTCAAGCCCCCCAGGCCAACAGAGAAAGTGGGAAATGCCACAGTGCTTCCCTGAATAGGTTTCTTGCTCCAGGCTCCTCCCTACTCCACTTGAACCCCAAGATACCTATCTCTGCCCCTGATTCTTTCAGACATCACAGAGATCCCCACAATTTCCCTGAAGTCTCCCTTGTCCATGAAGTCCACCCAGTGGATTCAGCTTTTGAGACTTTGCCTGTCCGTACTAGGCAGGGTTGCAACACCCATGATCTCCAAACCAAGCTAGGGTGGAACATAGAGGGGAGCACTGACCGTGACACTGTCAATCTGGAAGGTGTTGATGATATTGCCAGCGATGATGGAATAGGCTATGGTGCCATTGGGGCCCTCATCCAGGTCAAGTGCCTGGATTGTGATGAGGCTGATATTATGGGTGTCTGGGCCCTCATCTAGCAAGATCTCATAGCGTGGCTGTTGGAACACGGGCGCATTGTCATTTTCATCCACAATTGTCACATAGACATGGGTGGTGGCCTAGAAAGAAAGCGATGAGGGCAGAGTCAAAATGGGGGCTTCTTGAGCAAAATGGTGAGGAGTTTTCCATATTGAACAAGAAATGGAGAGAAAATCCAATTCAGTAAACAAAAAAGCAAGGGAAATTCACCTTTAATCCCAATCTTATAAAACTAGGCATGTTCTATCATTAACCAACAAGCGTTTCTTTACCACTTAGGACTGGCCAGGCACTGAGGAAAAAACAATTAAAGATCTATAATGATAATGTTATTAAATATTATATGAAAAGTCTTATAATCTAAAAGTTTTCTAGTTCTTTTCTAGCTCAGGCTGGGCTCACTTATTATGATATGGCAGTAATTGGAGGAGGGAGAAATAACAGAGATAAGGCATTGGAATGCTAGAAATGGACAAAAAAAGCCTGTACACAGGCAGGGTTGGGTTATAAGGAGACAATGGGTCAGGGCACACTACAGTCATTAGAGCTAGGGCTTTAATGTGTATGGTATATGAATATAATGGAGCATCACTGTTACATTATATTAAGAAATGAACATGTTAAGAAGTGACAAGAGATGGATTCAGAGAAACCTGGGAAGACTTCTATGAACTGATGCATTATGAAGTGAGCAGAACCAGGAGGACAACTGCCTAAAGCATTGTAAATAAAAACAACTTTGAAAGGCTTAAGAACTCTGTTTAACACAACAACCAATCACAATTCCAGAAGACTGATATTTCTCACCTCTTGGCAGAAAGGTGATGGATTACAGATGAAGAAGAAGACATGCGTTTTCAGACAAAACCAATGCATGAATTTACTTAACTTGACTATACTTATTTGTTTTAAAGGAGGGTTTTAATTTTTTTGAATAGGGAGAATTTTTTTTTTTTTTTGGGAGATGGAGTAGGATAGAGTTGCAAAAAAAGAAACCAAAGAAAAAAGTGTTCAGGAAATACTTTAAAAATACACAGAAGAGAACAGGAAGAACTACAGAGGGGAACCCAGACAAGACTACCATTTAAAATTTAATATATATTTTAAAAAAAGAAAAGACATATATAATAGAGAATCATAGTTTTATATACATAGTTTCATATCACCTTTTTCTGCTATTCTTTATATATGTAAATGTTTATATGTGTTGATATTTTGATATCGTCAACTTTATAAAGTAAAAAAAGAAAAAAAAGAGCTCTCAGTGGTACTTTTAGCTTCTTTTTCAGGTAGGGCTGGTGATAGACTATTAGAGTAGGAAGATTGCTTAGTGACCAACTTGTTCAAATCTTTCATTTTGCTATCTCCATCCTGCCCTTTTCATCCTCCTTATCTCTCTCACTTCTTGGCCTAGGCCATGGTCTTTCTATTTTACCTCTTTTGTGACTCAGGCTCATGGACATAGCCAGCCAGCCAGGCAGAGAAGATATTAAGCATTGTCTACATTTGAATGGAGACTACACTTTAAGGTTTTGTTTTGTTTTGGAGGGAGGGGCCTGGGCCTATGATTCAGTGTGGGGCACCAATATATGAGTCTTTAACTTATTTTAAAGAGTAACCTGGGCCTTTGAGAGACTAAGTGATCCACCCTTGGTCCCAAAGCTAGTACATACCAGAGGCAGGTCTTAAACCCATATCTTTCTAATTCTCAAGTCAGTCCTCTTACTTGTCCATTACACCATGTTACCTATAACTCCTTACATTAGAATATGAAGATTCCCTTCAATTTCCATCATCCCATTGATTTTTACCTGAGTCCATGTAAATCACCTCAGAAGCTTCACTCAATATGTTGGGGGGAAGGTGAAGCTGACTTTTTTTCCCCCTGCCCCAGAAAAATCCCTACCCTTCTGAGGAAACTGAGGTCCAGGGAGTCCAGAAATTACCCACATAGCTAATGCATGGTAGAACTAGAATTCAAATCCTGGTCATCTGATCACAAATATGGAATAGGCCTAGAGATCATCTTGTTCAGTTGGCCCAAGGTCACACAAGGAGTAAGTAATTTGGAAAATACAGTGGGAACTCACGCCTTTTGATGCTAACTGCAGCATTCATTCCACTATATTGTGCTTGTCAGACTCCGAATCCGGCAATCCTGCTATGCCACAGCTATCTGTAAATGGTCCCCACTCCTCCACCAAAAAAGATCTCTCCCACCATCAGTTGGTGTGACTGAGTTTGCATTATTAAAGATTCATTCCTTTGTGTCTCTAAGGCTTTCCTAATAGCACCTTACTAAAGTATTAATATCCTGGAGAAGGGAAAACCTTTATCAACTAACTATTTATTGGAGATCAGCTGACAGCCAGCTAACACTTGCTGGCACTACATAGGACACCAGATTCAAGTGGAGAGGTGAGAAGGTGCTAGGCAAACTTCTTGACTTCCCAGGTTTGCCTCGGGCTGGTCTTGGCTGAGGACAGAGGGACTTAATAAATGGTTGTTCCTTCCCTCTTTTCCTCCCTCCAGAATGGTCAGGAAATGGGGAGATCTGATTCAATTGGCTGGTCTGGCTAACAATGGCCACACTTAAAACATGCACTCTATTTAACCCTCAAACTCCACTGGACAGTAGTTTATTTTTATTTCTGATGGATTAAAAGACACAGAAGTCTGACTTGTCTCTGGGTTATCATTGCATTTGTGTGGATTTGGGGTCTGAGAGTTGGTCAGAGGATCCAGATGGTCTCTCACATAAAGCTGAGAAGTGGGGCAGTCATAGTATGACCCAAGTGTAGATTTAAAACGGGGAAGGAACTTGGAGGTCCTCTAGCCCACCCCTTCATTTTATAAATGAGGAAACCGTCCCAGAGAAGTGAAAGTATTTGCCCAAGCTCACCCAGGTGGTAAGTAGCTCATCCTCTAGCACTGAGCACCCCAAAGTTCAGGCTGTGCCCATATTCCCCCACTGCCCACTCTGGACCTCTCAATGTTCTATCAGTTCTTCTAAATGCCCGGGCATTGAGCAAGTGGCATGTGAGATTTCCTGTATGTTCCCCACAAGTTGGGCAATGCTGCCCCCACCCCTAGTTCCCAGCACCCCTGTGTCTTCAGACTCCATGATGCAATCTCAAAAGGTTCTGTGGTTACTGGGGTGAGGGGAAAAGGTCTTCCCACCTTTCTTCCATCTTGGCATCCACTTCATCTCCTCTGCATAGTCCTTTCCATAGTTGGAGATGTCTGTCCACCTCATTGCTTGCCTGAGGCCTGAGCAGGACTCAAGGTGCCTTCTCCCCAAGTCCTCCCCAGTATTACTCCCTCCCTACCTCTTCCTCCAGCCTGGTGAGAAGAGGGGCCGAGGAGCTGGAGAGGGGTATTTATTCCTCACTGATGACGGAGGAGCTGCTGGACTCTGTCCCACCAGGTCTGACTCGGTCAACAGGCTGTGATCTCCTATGTCCTTAGAGATAGCTAGGCCCATCTTCATCTAGCATCAGAGGCCTCAGCTGCTCCCCTTCTTTAGGGAAGGGATTGTAGGATCATAGGAACATAGATTTACATTTGGAAGAGGCTTTGGAATTCAATTCATCATTTTACAGACTGAAGAAACAAAACTGAGGCCCAGAGAGGTTAAGCAACTTCCCCAAGGTCAGACTGCAACCACCTATCTGAGGCAGGTTTTGAACTCAAGCCTTGCTGACTCCAAGTTCAGTACTCTAATCTACCATGCCACTTAACTGTTAAGAGGGCAATTCCCCCCAGTGAACATGGGTCAAAGCCTTAGGGCAAATCTCAGATCCATCTGTTTTCCCATCAACCACAACCAGGAAGAAAAGGACAGACTAGGGAGCAGGGGAGGAGGCTGAAGGAGGGGGGAAACTGAGGAAATGCCCTTTCCCTTCCTGGTGCTGGGAATTGCATGGAGGTAGCATTATGAGGCTTGTGTGCTGTAAGCTTGTGGGGGGCTTTGGTGGGACACGTCTCTCATAGGGCTGGTGGGGAGATAAGCCATGCCTCATCCAACCTGGGGAACCGTCCCCTAATATAGAGGCCTAAGGGCACCTGGAAAACTTCTCTTGGGATTTGGAGAGAGGGACCAGAAGAGAAGCAGGGCAGGCAAGAAGAAGGAACAGAAAGCTGGGTAGAGAGCGACAAGGCTTCTCTAGAGGCAACATGGTGGCCGGTTACTTGGTAGGACCAGGTCGTAAGGCTTATTAGTGAGAAGGAAAGATAGCTATGCAGGGAGCTGAGCCGGCCCTTTATATCTTGATTAGGTGATCTCAGCACAAGATTCCAGGATTATTGAAAACCTATCCCTTTTACCCTGAAAGGAGCAGATGTAAGGCTGGAAGTGATCTCAGAACCATCTGATTCAACCTCCTCTTCACAGATGAGCAAACTGAGCCCTAGGGATCCAAGTGCTTCACCCAAGGTCATCTAGGAGTATTAGGCATGATGTGAATCTAGATTCTTTGACCCATGAACCAATGCTCTTTCTGTTGTAAAACCCTTCCAAAAAAATTCAACCTTTGTCTCAGTTGTACTCAAGGGAAGAAAGGAGTGTGAGTGTGTGTGTGTGTGTGTGTGTGTGTGTGTGTGTGTGTCCCTAGGCCAGGCATGGACTGGTGGCAGAATTGGAAACAGAAGGGACTGCTTTTCTCAGGAGATTTGGGGGACTGGATAGTAAAAGTTGATTATAGGAGAGAAGCAAACCCTTGTGACTTGAGAGCTGATTCATTTATTTATGGGATCCTTAAGATAACAACACCCCTTTTCCACCTTTCCCCCAATGATCTACCCACTGGTAACCCCCAAACGAACTTTCTTTTTATCGGGAGAGAGTAAGAATTATTATTAGTAAAGGCATGGTTTTATGAGCATTTAGGAAGGGAAGCAGTGATCACAGTGAGCCTGTACATGAGGGGTATATAATATAGTAAAAGGGGTTATTGGTCTTAGGATCTGAAGATCTGAGTTCGAGGCTGAACTCCAGTTCTGATCCATCTGTCACTGAACCACATTGAGCCTCAGTTTCTGTAAAATGGGCACTTTAGAGCACTTCAATAAACTTCCTGGC